AAAACTCATTGTCCCATTTTTTTAAAGCCAGTATTGAGTCCAAGAACTCTTCCTACAAAGTGCAATTTGTCTATCTATTCAGTGATATCTTATGCTGTAAGTGTCTTTCAACAAATCAATCCAAATATTGACCACAGCCAACATGTAGAAAACATGCCTAACCTTTAGAAATCCTTCTTTCACTTGGAATATATTGACTGTGCAACAATGCTATGTATAATCCTGAGAGAAAAAAAGCACATGTAATATCCACAGAAAGCAAAAGTGGCAATTAAACCACCTATTCCTTAGGACATATAGCATCACTTAACTTTTTCATTCACATAAAAATATGGTATTTCCCTTTTACCTATTACATTTTGACATATTTAATTTCTTTTTAAATCACAGCTGATGAGGTAACCTAAGAAAATGATTTAATTATTTTTAGCATTATCTCTGAAATTTCCCTAATACAAAAAAATAGTATCCTAGAGATTGTGTAGCAAATCTCTAGCTTTCGGTCACACTATTAGTGGCCAACTTCGTAAAAGCTGTGTGGTCCGGTTAGATGGTGAGACTGCCAGGTTTTATTGTTTGCAAAATGATCTGGTTTGGTTTGGGAGTTCTAGTAAAAACCTCCAAAGACATAAAATACAGAAAATATAGAGCCTTTTAGCTGTGGCATTTATGTGAGGTCCAAGCAGTCAAGGAAACTTATTCATTCCACTTTGTAGCACTCACTCTTAGTCACTCTCTTCGTGATCACTGAGGCAGTTAGAATCTTGGCTCCAAGTTCAGGACATTCACTTCCCGCCCTCTATCCTAGTGCCTCTGTTTCTTTATTCCTGTGGTGGAGTTATTAGATGCAGGAAACACTTACTCTTGACTCCCACCATGGTCATTTTAGGAAAATGGATTGAAGGCTTCCCCCTGCCCAGTGCCCCAAAATGGGGTTTCGGATGAAATATTGCAAGCATACTCCTGAAGAATGAAACACTCCCATATGTTAACATTTTAGCCCTAGAGTGTGATGTGCTGCAATAAAAATATTTTGGTAGTTTATTATAAGCAAATAGGTTTAAATTGTGAATAACTTAAAATATTATAAAAACAGGAGTCTCTGTCTATAGTGCTGACAGTTGAATTTTGTTAGCATAAGTCACTGTAACAATATAGAACAAAATATGAAAAAGATTAACCATATCTAAAACCTACTACTTTGGTTTTGATTCAGGATGCAGGGTACATTAGCAAGAGCTCATGATAACAGAAATAATGTTATATCTGCATAAATATAAATTTACTCATACGTATGTACAAATATACACTCACATTCACAAACAGAGGGAGAGAATGAGAGAGAGAAAGAAACAGAGTAATTAAGCAGGAAATTATTTCCTATTAAATATGCCAAATCCAGAGATTAGAAAACAGTTGTGTGTTTCCAAAGCAGGAATCACTATAATTTATCTTAAAAATAAGATAGATTGATTTTGAACAATCTTCTTTAACTTATTACGTAAATGATTTGGAAAATGAACTTAAACCCCTCTGTGACTCAATTTTCTGACTTACAAAATGAGTAAAAATAAGGTTGTGATGATTAAATGAGTTAGCATATTTTAAAAACATGAGCACAGTGATATGCAAACCTTTTCTATAAAGTGCTAGGTACCAAACATTTTAGGATTTACTGTTTCTGCCATATAATCTTTGTTTGGTTTGTTATAACTCTTTGAAAATGTTTAAAACAAAAATCCTTAGCCCACTGAGACACATACAACACACATACACACAATCAGACCCTGCTACAAAGTGTGTCTTACACTTACTAAGTGCACATTGTTGTTATTGAACCTAAATTCTTAGCCGAGTAGCTGAAGGAAAAGACATTCAATAAATACTTATGATGGAAATAAATAGTACAATAAATGTGCAAATACATATTTTTCACTATTCAATTCAGTATGACTATTAGTATTTCCCACAATTCACATATTTAAATCTTAACCTCAGTGGGGTGATACTTGGATGTGGTCTTTGGCAAGCTACGGGATGTAGACGAGCTCCTGAGAGTGAGTGCATCCAGATAGGGGTACGGCCCTCATAAAAAGAGACTGGAGTGCCTGCACTCTGCACCATGTGTGAGAGTCAGAGAGAAATGCAGGCACTGCAGCCTGGGAAGGCACCATAACTGAATCTGCCTCTCCTTTGATTATGGGCTTCCTGATCTGCAGAATTAGACAAATGTATTTCTGTTTCTTTTGCTATCTTGTCTATGCTATTGTTTGCACCAGTCCATGTCAACTAAGCAATTGAGGTGGGATATGAAATTATCAGCATTTTCAACACTTCTGGCCTTTTTTTCCATGCATGAAACATTATTTCAAAGTTTAAGAAGTCCCTCACAAATTATTTAGCTGTAACCACTTGGAATTAATGTGTGTATTTCTTTACTACAAGGACTCTGTACTTTTTTTTTTTACCCCAGAAGTTCCTAATGAGGCAGATGTTGGAATGCAATATATCCAAATAAAATCCTGTAATCTTATATACAGGATTTTAAGCACATCTCTGTACTATCATTGGCCTGTCATTCTGCTCAGCTTTAAAGTTTCAGGGACGGGGCTTAACTATCAGCTCTGTTTAATAAAAATGGTCATTAGTTTCATGAAAATGAAAATCTCTATCAGGGCATTTCAGGTGACTGTAATGATTAATGTAGTCTCGCCACACACAAATGTAGAACTCAAAGTAATTTACAGCAATATCAGAATCCTCTCTATGTGCACTTACCATCTTAAATACATACAAACTAGTAAGATCAGTGTCTGTTTTATTGCCTCTCTAATTAAGCACCATTAAACTAGCCTTAAGCGTGTGAAGAAAACATGAACACATTTGAACAATATCCATTCACATGTAGATCTCTATAAGAGGTCTATGTAGACAACCACAGCAGGGCCATCTCTACAGATATGTGAATGCACACGTGTTCACACACACTCTACTACACTCACAGCTCCATATTGTCATACATCCCTACAAACACGCACAACATTACTCACACACCCATCTATCATGTCACTCACTTACCAATCAGTCACTCATACCTCCTACACCCCCACCCACACACACCTTTGGGAAGAAAATATGCTTTCTTCCTTTTGTATCTTAAATTTGCTTATATTACTATGGCACCCTAGAAAGCAAATCCAATCATGATCATACTTTTCCCACAAAGTTATTGTATTGTATGTAGTGCTCGCTCCCAAAAAGGGAGAGTTTTCATTTGGCTACTTTTGTGTATGGTACGTTTATTTATTTATCTATTTTTGACTGAATGATGCATTATTCATGGAATAACTACATCATGGAGTATACCTCAATACCTGAAGGTTTTATATATGGCAGTAATTAAGCAGTGAATTCCAGTAGGAAAGCAGACTTTGCTTTCTTAGCAATAAAAACTTCATTTGGAATGAACATTATCCTAGCTACAGGAGAAATGCAGATTGTTTTTAGCCACTGTTATATTAAGCGACTTGAGATGTGACTAAGAGGTGATCACATACATGTTTAAGATGACATTCTCCTGATTTACACATGTATTTATCATCTTTGACATGAACCATTTAATAAAAGAACTGTATAGGCTATAGTCAACTTTACCGCCCCATTATTATTGCGATTCTTTATTACATCCCTAATGGAAAAGAGTTCAGTATCATTAGTAGAATATGCAAAAATATGCAGAATTTTACCCCGAAGGAGATTATGTTAGAAATTCAGGCAAAGGGGCTTAACATAAGAGTGCATTAATAAGTTAGCTGTGTCTGCACTCAACGATTTTAACTTTTGCTCTGCCACCTTCTTTCAGATCTGTATTTCATATCACAGCAGCATGTCTGCAGTTCTTAAATCTTAATTATCCTGGCAAGCAGACATCCCCCAAATGAGAAGAAAAACTAAAACACGAGCTCCTGTATCATATATTGTGTAGTTCTAGAAGGATGCAGAAGAAAATTACAGGTGCCGATGCTTCTCCATCATTGTAATTAACCTGTTTCCATCCGTGTCTGCTAAACTCTAACATGTATTTGAACTTGGTGCAAGTTTGGAAGGTGCTGGAGTAAAATTAACTGTTAAGTGTGACTGTGGTAAAATGCCTCCTGGGCAAAATAGAAATAGGTGGTTTGCTGATGAGACCCAATGACATGCAAACACAAGACTTACAGTTGTAGTTAATTCTCTATAATCATGGTCAAAGGAAAGATGGCCACTTGAAGAGGAAGACTGAATTTTTTACTTTCTTCTGTATTATTTGTGCACATGCTAAGACTTATTTTTTCCCAACAAATTTGGTGGAAAAATTGTAGTTTACTGAGGTCACCCTGAGCAAGTACTCACTGTAGCCTTTCTCACCATGGACCAAGCCATAGGGCGCCCAAGGAGTAAACAGCAAAAATAACAGTATGTCTTGGGAAAGGAGAGCTTATTGGATTCTGCCATGCAAAACGAGTAAGTGTAGGGTTTATCTCACTATACATTTTCTCCTCTCTAATGCCTTTACAACCTTAGAAAGTCTTATTCTGAAGACTAGCTTATATTCATCAGTGAATGATTTTACAGAGTGAAATATCAAGAAGCATTTTAAGATTTCATTCACTTTGTATGTTGCTTCTGATATACAAAATATATCATTTCTAAAAGTCAGGGTTTTTATGTAATGGACTTGGTTCCCTAGAAGAGTGAACTTTTCATGAAAGCCCTAGATATAATTGAGTTTTTCTTTCATGTCTTTAAAGCTTTTTAAAATTCATGAATTTTCTTATCATTCTTTCAGCAATGCAAAAGTATTTCCAAATCCTTTTTGAATTTTGTGTTTAATATTAACATATTTTAAATGCTACAGAAATAGATGGAGTGGAATAAATCTTACATAAGGAACTATTTGATTTTGATGCATTTTAATGTCATAAATAGGTCAGTTATTTCTATTAAATCGGTTCCATTACCTGTCACAGAGCTGTCTAGATTGTCCATACTGGATCCAGGTGTCTGCTCTAGAGCTCTCAGGGGCCTTGGGATTTCTAAAACTTCCTCCTCGTCATCAGCATCATCATCTGGAACATCTGTTTCCAAATCAGAGATCAAGGCTCCGGACATGTAACCTAATGGTGGAACTGGGGGCTGTGGAGGTTGATTATTGCTTTGAATGTGCCTAGAATTCAAATGGAAAGGTGAAGAAGAATTTGTTAACATTCCACAAAACTGAAATTAGGTTAAGTAGCATGCTATGGTAACTAGTTTTTTCTTGTTATTCACCCTTAATTAATAGTGGTGCTTACAGTACTTTCTTACATTTTAGCAGAACACTAAGCCCTGTAAATGTGACTCACCAAACAACAAAATATAGATTATCAAACATTTCTATTGGTATTTATGGTATGGTACACACACACGAAAAAATATGTAGAACCCACTTTTTGTATAGGTAAGTCAACCAAAGAAATCTTATCTTTTACAAATAACTGTTTAAAACTGACATTTTTGTCCAAAAAAAGAATGTTACAGTTTTGTTTTCCAGTTTAGTGTCCAAGAAGTACTCAGTCTAAGTAACCTTGTGACATTCATGAATGGGCTTATGGAGATAGAGCAGGTAGAGTCTACCATTCATGTTCCTTGCTCCCAACGATGAGGGTATTCCGTATTCCCCACCCTCCAAGACTTTTTCCTGCACAATCCCCACACAGCAGGCCAGGTACTTGCTTCCCCTTTAGCCCAGTTTAGGACAGGGTTGACTGCATTGTGTTTTAGACCTGATGTGCTCTCGCGCCTACCCAAGTCTTAAAAACCTTAAAACCAGAAATAACTCAACTTCTTCGCAATCTCTGCATTTAGGACATTGTGTGATAAAGGGAAACCTCTGAGGTAAATGAAAAGCTCTAATGTCAACTTTGTGAAGCAGACAGGACACCTATTTCCAGCTACCTTTTAAGATTTATTAAGGTGAAGTCAAAATGTGACTTAGATGACAAAGCATGCAAAATGGGGGGGTGCACACAGGGCTTCAGTTTACTCCATTTGGAACTAGCTATTAGTTTCTACTAAGCCATAAAATGCTAATTGAAAACAAACCTCTGCTATTGTTTACGACCTTAAAATGTGAATATACTACATGCTTTGACAAATTCAGTTTTTTCTTTGCCTTAATGTTATGTATTTAAGAGACCTTTGCTATTTAAAATAAATACAAAACAAGGACTATGTGTTTTCTTAGTTTTTGAATTAAAGATACAAGATTATTTTCCTTTAATATTTACTTTGAGGGTAATATTTAATTCTTCAAGAATTTAATTTTCCTCTCCCAACTGCATTCTTGAGCTTGCACTCAGCTCCAAAGTTAACAAGAGTCTAGATCTTTCAAAATTAAAAACAAAAACAAAAACAAAAAAAAAACTATGTCAGTCTGGAAGCTCCCTCAATGACACCAAGCCCAGATCTTTTTAGAGATCAGGAATTTAGGGCCACAAGTTACTTTCTGACATTCCTCATAACTCGTTCATTAAAAAGCCAGGAGGCTTCCTAACCACTAGTATAGAACATCTTGAGGACTGACAATCACATGTTGGAATTTGTTGCCTATGAACCTGTTTGTGATTTGGTGATGGAGACAACCAGGGGGGTGAACAAAGGAACACAAAGTGATGTTTAGATACATGACTCTTTTTGAATGGTGTGCACTTTGGTCCAACACTCCAGTCCTATATCCATGCTGACATCTGTTGTTAGAACAAATATACATTTAGGCATTGAAAACACACTCCTTGAATTCAGCAGGATTTGAAGATTAAATGAAATATGAGAAGAGGGCGTATAACATTTATAAATATCATCTAGTGACAGGCACTGTGCTGTGTACTTCATGCCTCAATGAACACAATCCCTGGAGGTGGAACCTGGGAATCATTATTTTTGAAATGTTCCTCCTGTGATGCTCATATGCAGCCCAGATGGAGAGGCACTTCATAGCAGAACGCCAGTGTCCTGTGCAAGCGCTTGGATGCTACAGCTCTTACAAAGGGCAACAGGAACGACATTCTACAGGACTGCATAGGGATATACTCAGAGAAAGCTGGAACAGGTATGGAGGGATTACTTTGTTCATTTATTTAGCAAATCTCTTCAAATGCTTACTAAATAGGGCATGCTTCTAAAAATGGAAAGCCCAGCAGTGAACAAAACCCAAGCTCTTGTGAATAATAACAGCTATAACATAGGCAAGAGACTTTAGTACATAATGCACTGGTACAGTCTCCTTTAAGCCCCCCTTTTCCTTCTCCCCCACAAATCTCTGATGTATATTGAAGAATTTGACCTTGCCCAAAGAAAAGTTAGATCTTTGCCCTTTACTTCTGGGAGGTAATCACAAAGTTGTTGAAATGTCTGGTTTGATAAAAGAGCCTGTTTAACTGGAATCAATGCTACTCCAGAAAGTCTACCATTAGGACTAAGGTATGGGCTTTGAGCCACACAGTGTCAGCAGTTCTTCAGCAGAGGCTGGAAAATGAAGTCAGGCACATGGACAGTTGAGGGCCAAATTCTCCAGACCTCAGAGCTGATGTGGGTTCCCTGGCTGACAATACTCCATGTGACTGTCACAAATCACCTCTGGGGAGGTACTGCCTTCCATGACTCTAATGGAAACGCCATTTCGAAACTTCCCTAGATGTTTTCTTCCCTGTGCATCTGTTTTCTTAGCAGATTTGAGTGTAATAACTTTTGGTGATTCTCTCTAGTAAATTTTTGAGACTGAAGGTGGTCTTGAGGACTTCAAAAACTTGTACTTGATGTCAGAAGTGAAAGCAGTCTTGAGGGCTCTCCTATCATTTTGTAAATGGATTAAGCAGCATTAACATCATCATAGCCTGGGGGGAACTGAAGCACAGAAATGCTAAGCAAGTTGCTCACTGTCACACAGCCTGTAAGTAGGAGCAGTGGCAGTGTTCGCTGTCGGCTGCCCACAATCAAATATCAGTCCAAGCAATCGAGGTGTGGAGGGGAGTCTAGGTACCATGCACTGTGATTCGCAAATGCAGGGAGCTAGCATCTGTACTTCATGGGGCTAAATTCATTAGTTAACTTGATAGAAATCTTATTCTTAAAAAACTGGTTGTACTTAAGTATCAGTTTGTTTTAAAGCAGGTTGATAATGAAATATTAGTGCCTCACAGCAAATTGTAGAAAAAACATATGATTAAAACATTCAAGAATGTTTCTTTCTAAGAATCTATGTTTGTAATAAGCTTTAATTGACATTCCTATCTCTTTGTATAGTTAACTACAAATAGTACATTAGTACTGACAATAAGACTTATTATCAGCTTATTCTAGTAGCTAAAACTATAAAAGACACATTTTTTTCATGAAAATTTACAGTAAGATCAAGCACAATGTATAAGAAAGAATCAGAGGTTTTTCACTGAGAGTTCACTTTCAAGAGTTCATATACGTTACTATAGAAGCATGAAAGTTGTCCAAGTTGTTTTCTTGTCATGTATCTGTCCTAGATTGACAGAAGACCAAAACAGATTACCATTTATACCTTATGAGAGCTTATGGACTGATTAGAAAAGTGGATTTTGGGGTTTGTATTTTAATCTAGGTATTTTGGGATGCATTTTTTAAATGTTTCATTTAATTCAGTTCAAAGAAAGTCTTTTAATAGTTGACACTAACCATATGCGATTTACAGAAGTTTACATCTACATATTCATGACCATAGACAGAATTAATCACAGGCCCTCCAAAGAATCTAAAATGAGTCTTTTATTACAGCATTGGAAGTGAGTGCAAGAATAAGCCAATAGAAGCAAAACCATAAATTAAGTGATATTCAGTATAGCCAAAAGCCCTTTTGCCTGAAGTTCAATAGATCTAAATTCTTGTTCTGGCTCACTCTAGTTATGTGTCTTTGGTCAAATTACTGGACATTTCTTCAGTCAATTTCCTTAACTAGATAATTAAAGACTGACTCAAAAGCATTTCTAATCTCAGCTGTATCATTCTATGAGACTCTCTTGTGAAAAATGTGAAAATTAATTTCCTCTACCCATGTGTTAGAAGCATCAGGGTATTTACCATGTTTGCTTTGCTGTATCAAACTGATAGGCTCTTGTCAGCTCATCCAGGTGAGCCTGCAGCATGGGTTGCATTTCTTCTCGTGGGGATGGAGTGAGAGTAGCAGTAGACTGCTGTCCAAAGGAAATAGCAGGAGAAGAAGCCACGCCTCGAACAGGAGGTGTTGGAACGCGGTCATCATCTTCTTCCAGCTCGTCCTCCATGCCCTGGTGTAAGTATGTTTGTACTGGTAATGGAGGGCACCAGCTATCACTGTCATAGCTGAAAGTAAAGGAGAAGAAAAGCACATCGGCACCTATCACACACGCACACACTCTCCAAGCTGACAGTGAGCAACCACTATGGCTAATTTTTTCCCCCTTTCAAGTTGTTGGTAGTGCCACATTAAATCACCTGGCTGTTATCTTAATTTCTAATCATAGTTACACTTGTTATCTTTCAATTGAATATGCTGATAAAGATCATCTAAGAAACATTAAATAATTTTATTTATTTCATTTTTAGACCTATGCTCACCTTTCATTCTATATGACATATAAATCATGAGATATCATGATGCAAAATGCACATAAGGTCCCTTGATTGTCTTAAGTCGTTTAATTTTCTCAGTAGACAAATCACACTTCCCTTTAGCTTGACATCTAATTTCAAATCTCTAAAACACAAGATCAAACGCTAGTACTATCAAATACATATTTAAAGAACAGCAATTTTTAAAAGCAGCATTATTTTAGGGACTTTGGCTTGGGAATTGAAAACTAGTAAGTTTTAAATAACACCCCATCAAAAGCTTTTCTACTTAAACTTTGTTCTATTGTGTTACATAGCCAATAGACTCTAAGATAATATAAAAAAGAGGCTATCACTGCCCTATCACACAGGTTGAAGTTTTACTCCTTTAAATATCTCCTAAATTTTTTCTCCCACATTTTACCTCTACTTTGATGATCATGGAGCAGCCTCATTCTGATGTGAACTATCCCAATAGTCTCGTGGGAAGTCATCATCACCTCTGCTATCCTACCTTCCATTCAAACAATAGGATTACATTTTAAATTCTTAATTCACATATTTAGAATTATTCACTATTGCTAACATAAGAAAAAGTCCTAACTCCTGAGCTGTACCCAAAATACCTCCCCCATCTGGTAAGCCTTTGTTTCTACTACTTTCTCAGTACTTCCTACTCTACATTTTTTTCTGGATATGAATAGATCTGTCTGAATGCGACTGTTCTCAAATTATCTGCCTGTGATCTCCTATACTTGCCTTTGAGGTTCAATTCAGTTTTGTGAAGCTTTCTCTATGCCTGCCATCTGGAACTGATCACGATTCAATAATGTATTGGGATTTTTTGTTACATATATTTTTACCCTCCACTTATGTGGGATCCTTAAACTCCAGTACTCAGTAATCCCCAAGTTTGTGTTTTTAGCATCTAGTACAGTATGTAGCATATAGATGACTTTCATTAAATAAACTGAATAGAGAATAAATATTACAAATGCATATACCTGGTCTTACTCTCCTCTACAAAGTCTTAATTTGTAAATGTCCAGATGGTTTTTGAATATTTTTACCTGACTATCCTTTCTAGTATAATCTCACATAAATTGAATTTATCACAAAAATCAGCACGTGATTGGTCACCTGATTCTCTGTACTTTCTGCTAAATTTTGCTGCTAAACTAAAATTGATTTAAAAAATAATGTCTATTTAAATAGTATGAATATATCCTCCATTTATTCAAAAATCATTTGTCAGGCAATTGGATAAATGCAACTCGGGGACATGCTGGCATTAAGCAAATAGTCAACAATATCAACTACTGTGAGAGTACAGAGGAGGGAGACGAAGACAGCAGCCTTGGGAGTGGGGAGGCTGTAGAGATCCCCAGAACAGGGACTGTTCTAAGCAATATGTGGCAGCCCAGAGAAAGAGAAAATAGAGTGTCTGAACATCTCAGACATTTTCTAGCTGATAAGAATTGGCAAGTAAAGAGGAAAAGAGAGGATGTGTGCTAGATCACAGAGGATCTCATCAACTGAGGAGCTTGGAATTTTGCCTATGGATGATAGTCGCTAATAGTTTTATGTGCAGAATGAGATCACTTTTGGCTGTTCAATTTTCCTCTCATTGAGGCTACCTGAATCATCTTTTACCTCAATGAGTCGCAATCAGAAGGCTTTATTTTAGAAATTTTATATAGTCTGTAGGAATACCTCTTCTGGTTTTTATGTTTCATAAAGACCAGCAAACTTTCATGTTTACAAATGACTATTTTTATACATTAGGAAATAATCAGCTAGACTTTTATTCTCATGAACTGACTATATTTAAATACCAATCTGACCTAAAAAAACCTCTTGCTCAAAAATGACAGCATTTTTGTTTTTTTTTTTTACCTGTTGGATATCAGTTAGATATCATTTGGAGAAAGATACTCTTGCATAAAATATGTATAATTCACTATCTCAGTGGAATTTACTACCTTTAGTTTTTACTCAATCTAATTAATCCTGTGTACCATGTACAAATTGGGTTATGGAAACATTAAAATGATTTGAATGAAGTATTCACTTTTCTTCATTATATACTTCAAAGTATGTTTTCCATCAAGTATGTTGAAGATTCAACCTACATTTTCAGATATTTTTTGTAATTTCTCCAAAAACCCCTGATAAAAATAAATTTGTTGATTCATTAGTTTTAAATAATATGACTTATTTCAAATTAGCTATATTCTGCTTATTTGTAGCTAAGACTACAATTCTATTTACCTTAAACTTGTAAATCTTTCGAGTTCCAGGCTTAATCCCCTATATTTTATAAAGATTTCCATGATGAGGTCAACTAACACTGACATGTTACGCTTTTGAATTTGCACTGACAATATATTTCCACATTTATGTGAAAATTGATTATATGTTGTCATGTCATTTCCAATGTTGGTCCCTGTAATTATTTTCTAATTTATTCTGCTTTCTCACCTTTCAGTTGTTAAGTGTATTTTCCTTTAGTGGATTTGAGCTATATTAAAGAAATGGCATTGGATTATTCTTGTTGCTACACCTGCCATAATACCTTAAAAATAGAAGGCAATGAACATATTTATTAATTTGAAATGAAAATATACAAATGGATTAAGTTTCTTTTTCTTAATTTACTTATTTGACTCCAAATGCTTCATTAAGGCAAACAATATGCATAAGAAGCCTATTTTTTTTTAATTGCCCATTATTAGTGTGGAATGCACACACTGTTATTCTTCATCAATAGTTATAATTTAATCTACTCCATATAACTTGTTATAGAATGGTTCATTTTTTGTTCCATAAACTCATGCATGCACTTTCATTGCCTACACTGTCTTATGCCAGTGACATAGTAAATATGGATAAAAGAGCATGTTTATATATTCAACCATTCAAATGAAATTAGTCATTTCTTAAATTATCCTTGTTTCATAAACAGTGAATTATTCTTATTTCCAACAATATAAAGGAAGCTTGAGAAAAGAGAGAGAAAAAAGAAAGACAAGAAGAACATGAGAGAATACTGAAAGGAAGTTAGGACTTGGTGCATTTATATGAGAGGGAGAGCTGTTTAGCAGGTCTGAGTTTCTCCTGTCTTAATATATTTGTTCCAGAACAACAAATACTTCAGTCTCATGCAGTTTCTGAAGAAAGGCAAGAAGGAAACACACAACATTATAAATGTTATGTAAAATATAGCTCTGTTTTTAGAATTCCTTTCACGTTTAAAGATATATGTCTTATTTGAGCATTGGAATTTTGATTTTTCTTGTAACATTAAAAAAGGCTGTGAGAATGTTTCTAATGCTTTTCTAAAGGTCTTCTGGCCACTCTTTTGAGAGAAGTGTTATTCTTTGACTTATTGTCAGTGGAGTATGAGGCATCATATTATCTGTCTTGACTGCTGAATAAGAAAAAAGACAACAAATCAATGTTGTATGTGAACTAACTTGTTAAGGCCAGATACAAATACCAAATCATTAATAAAAATACAATGAAGTTCAATGCCCTCAAAAGCTTGCCAATTTCTAATTGCAATAGCAAAAACAAAGCACTAGTTTTCTATTTAATTACTTCTGAAATCCTCCTAGCACCACATGTAATAAATATACATCATATTTACAGCTAGGAACAAATACATCTTGACATATTTGTTAAAGACTAGAGAGGCATATTGATGAGAAAAAAACTTTTACCATGGTTGCTATAGTATTGAATTAATAGCACATATTTTTCTATTTAAGATATATTTGATAACTTTTGATACTTTATATTGAGGGGGAAGTGCCTGAGAAAAGACCTGGAGAGAAACTTAATGATACCTAAGCTTTAGAAACAATATTAAACACTAATAAAATGAGATTATTTTTTTCAAAATGGTGACAATTCTGAGCTAGGTATAGCTTCCATATTTATCACTTTCCTTCCTCCTCACTACCATCGTCCTATTTTATTCCCTTAATATTTTATTTAATATTATCCTTATATTGCAATATCCCATGTTATCAACCTGGATCCTGTCTCATATCTTCCAGTCCCTAATTTATATCCAAAGATCATTACCAGTAGACTTAAGACATCACCTTAGATTAGATGCTATCCATGCATATTTCAAGCTCACCAAACTCAACCTCATACGACAGATACCAAGTGATGGAGATACAGAAAATGCTAGAAATGGATGTGATAAATGATACGCTAGAGGTTTAAGGAATAATGGAGGGAGAAAAGGAAGGCAAATCATTTTAACTGGAATATGGTGGGGTTTTAAAGAAAGTGTTGGCATTGCTAAGGAAAGGCTTAACAGTATCCCTTTTATTCTCATTTTTTATTTTACTTTGTGGAGGAAACTATTTCTCCATGTGCACAGACAGTAACAACATTAGTAACATTTTCTTTTAGTTAGCAATCTATTTTGGAGCACTGGTGAATTTATATTAGACATTATTTCTCATTTTCTTTTTCTTTATTGCTTCTGATTCAGAGGCTGGTACTCAAGAAACTTCCAACTTTAAATCAAATTATTTGTGAATAAGGAATTAAAAATTTGCCTAAAAACTCAATGTCTATAAGATTTTCCTAGGTGTACCTGGCATGATATCCCTGGTAGATGCAAATTACTATTTTTACATATTGCTTATCTAGGTTTGCCCTGTAACATAATGTGTATGTGCAGATTCTGGTCTCTGCCTTCCATTTCTCTTATAATCAGAAATCATATCTTCTTTTTAGCCATGTACGTGTCCCATCTCTCCTTTACTTTCCTTCACAACATTGGGCTTAATACATTTGTACATAAAAATGTGTGGGGCTCTTGCTGGTGGCACAATGGATTAAAGCACAGCACTGGAAGATAGCCATAGTAGCTTCAGCACAAGTTCAATCCCTTGCCAGGGAGTGATCTACATGGTGCGGCAGACCTCTCCTGTCTTGCCCGCTGTTCCCCTCAGCAGTGTACTTCACTGATCTGCCTGTTCTGCTCCCCACTCGGTCTCTGGTGAATCCTCTCACCCTCTGCATCTCTGGCCTGTACCCCAGTTCGATATGCATCCATAAATAAATTTTAAATAAAAATAAAAATGTGTGCGTTGAATAAATTCTCTATTATGATGCACTAAACACAACAAAAGAAACTATCACCAAAAGTGACATTAAGGTCACCAGTAAGAGTTCAAACATTCAATGAATAGAAGAGTATAAACATTTAGGAAGTGTTCAAAATCTTTCCTTTGCAGTATTATAAGTTTTTCACACTCAAAAACATAAAAGAGTTTAGATAAAAATCATTCCAAATTTACTTATTTTAATTCACTCTTCTATTGATATTAAATGAATATTTTTTATTAGAAAGAAATGAAATAAGAACATCAAGTATTAATCTTCAATAATGAAGTTTAAAGAATAAAACTGAATTTTCCTGTCAGTTTAGTTTACTAAGAGTAATACTACTTTTTCAGCAAGTACTAGCTATTATTTGTCTTGACAAATAATTTGAAGGCAAATAAGCACTAACATACATGGCATAAGGACTTTTAATATATATAAACAAAATCCCCTTACATAAGGTAAAAAATAGATTACTACGCTCTGTAATAATATTTTCTTGTGGAATACATATCTCTGATTTTTTCTTTGCCCAGTATGCATGTGATATTGACACACTGCTATCACTGACATGTATTATGTAAGATCAGACAGAGATATTCATTTTTAAGTCACAGAAAGTGGGTATGCTCTCAGTTTCATGTTTCAAACATAAACTTTAAAAAACAAGTAAAGTAAAAATTGTATGCATATTTGTGGAGTCAATAATCCCAGAGAAACAAATGAAATCTTTGGGGGGAGGGAAACAAGTAAAAACACAATATATACAGATCATATGCATACCTATTTATTTGAATGCATAATGTATATGCTTAGTACATATGTATTTATATTATTAACTAGAAGAAAAGTAAAATGAAGGTCTTTTGAAGAAGGAAACATAACAAAATTTTAGTTAAAATTAATCTGGAGACCTCAAAGACAGCCATTACATAAAAAGAAAAGGAGATAAGGAAAAAAACATAAACATTACATGTGATCCTTACGTGAAACAGAATGATAATAAAATAATTATTGAAATAAATGTAGATATCTTAATAATTAAATATTTCTAAGTAAACGTGGAAGAAGAAAACCCATTTTAATTTTGCATTTTCCAGTTTCAGTCAAAAGCAATGGGGGTCCAGCAATTGACGAATAAGAGCAATTAGAATTAGTATAAGATTCTGTCCATTTCTAATTTGTTCTTTTTGCATTAAAAGGATAAAAGGTATCAATATCTTTCTGTCTTAAAATCAATTCACACTTACACTAATCGAGGATCTAACTCACTCTTTGGAGGTGTTTGCAAAAGAATAAGGAAACTGGTCACATTTAAAGACCCTCAAAGGAAATTTTCTAACTTAAATGGGTTTTGTTACAGGGTGTTCATTGGCTTAAACCTCTTTTATTGTTCTGGTCCCTAAATTCCCATCAAAGCTGATGATTAAAGGTCTACCCACTGGCCAGGTCCCCACAATTATCCCATTGTGATGGTGGGGGGCGACAGTGGGCGCCTTGCTATGTCCAGACATCAAGTCATTAGAAAACTGTGAGGGATGATGAAGAAGGTTATTTTAATTCCCTTTTCAGCCCTTATCAGGAGTGGCTCTTTAGTTCACAGAGCTGTGGGCACTTGCTTTCAAACTAACAAGCAATATTATAAATGGAGGCTGCATTATCATGATTGCAGACAATCTGACGCACTCCACGGCCAAGGCTTCAGGGTTCTCCATATGTGCTGTGTTGAAACCATCAGCTAAAAATGTATAGGTAGTGCAAACAATGAAAGAGAGGGGAAGCTATGAACAGTCTCAGAAGGGGGCAGGGAAAACAGTAAGAGAACACAAGATAGAACAACAATGCACACCGGAGAGCTGAGCACAGCCATGAGCATTTTGCTAGTATACATAAAATGTTTTACCCATTTTCTTGCTGTTCCACCGCATAGTGCTCCAGCTCTGTACCAGGAAGGGGCTGGACTGGGGGCGGAGGTAGCGGAACATTGGCCCAGGTCGATCCATTGTTTTTCTGCTGTTTAGAAGAGTTTTTATTTTTCTTCTTTTTTCCACCTTTTCCACCTGAAAGTGATAATGCATTTATTCAGAGCTACCAAAATACTGGAAGGAACAGAGTGCATCAGACGGGAAGATGTATTTATGTTTTGAAAACACAAAAATCAGGATGTTGCAATTGTTAAAAGTGACAATGAGGTGATATCATTAGAAAACATTTTTATAAATCACTCAAAATGATATTGTTTCTTTCTCAATGCATGAACTGCAGAGCTGAATAAACCAAAAACATGGCTGCTGTAGCAAAAGCACATTTATTGATTTCTTCACATCAGCTGCATCCACGTTTTCATTGTCAGACAAAATAATGAGTCACAGCAAATTCTTTCAAATGTCAGATTTTTGGTGCATTTATAATGCTCTTTTGCATAATCTCTCTCAGTGGAACTTGCAGTGTGTCTAAGGCTAAACTTTTCCATTAGAATTTACTCAGTTTAATTAATCCAGTAACATTTTTCTCTCAAAAGTATTGATAAAAATCAATCAGCAACAATCTGGTAGATGCCTGTAAAATCTTCTTCGACAGTATATTTTATGCAATTTATAACTAATGGTATAATTTATAATTAATGGTACAAGTAGTTTGGCATATAGTGAGACAAGTTCCCAGATGTTTGAAGCATAATCTTTCCTAGAATTCCAAAAGTGGAGGGGGGCATAATGGAAATAGACTCATCTGTTTCAACAACTGTAATCAAAACAGATTCATCCACACATGAGCATGAGTCATTTTTGTAATTACTGGAACACAAGGAAATATAACAGTAAAATTAATCATTTGTACAGTGCTGTACACTTTTTCCCTCTTTCAAAACTTGGTAGATAAATCTTCCTTAGAAATGCACCACAACTGAATATAGAGTACTTCTTGAACAGAATGACAAAGGAAGCTTCAGCAGAACATGGGTAACTTGTCAAAAAATAGCACTGCCCTTATCCCCAGATGTCATCTTTCCAGAATGAAAAGCTGTGAGCCTCAAATATTTGTTGCTGCATTATTGAACAAAGAGGTATTACTAAAAATCTCAGTTGTTCTGTTCTACCAATTACTAATTTGCATCAGCCAATTCAGAGAATTATATATTTTAATAATAAATTACTATTTAAGGGCCAGAAAAAAAAAACCAAACAACTGTGAAACTAGACACATACACTCTTGCTATTTATAGGAAACTATTTTCTAGGTCATGTGCACATAGGCACACACAGGGAAGAACAACAATGCACAGGAATTGCTTCCACAGAACAGAAGGTAGTCAGCGGAAGGAGAACAGGTAACTGTGTTTCCATGCTAGGAGCGAGACCTCTATGTTTGAAGACTAATTTCGTACCTATTTAGTAAGTTAATAAATATCCCTTAATTTCCACAGATGTGGTTGCCACTTCTTTTAGGTATTTTGAGGATTACAAGAGATAATGCATGCACAGAGCTTAGTGTGTGCAGAATACATGATAAATATCATTACTACACTTTCCTAATCCCTGTCTCAGTGAAAGCCTGGTTCTACTCGTTCGGTAGGCTCTACCACACCCAGCTCTCAGACCAGAGAGAACCCTGGAAACAGCCTGATTCTCAAAATGAGAATAATAACCTTGCTTAAATCAAAATCTGTAATTTTTGTCTTTCAGGTAGGTGGTCCTTTATTTTTGTTTCCTGGTAATCCACCCAAATCACAAACAATTAAATATTGCAGTTATTTCATGTTAGTAATCAAAAGAGGAATTGCTTGGGCCTTGTGTCTTTTATAGCTTTTCCTCCTTTTGACATTTGTGTACAAGGCTCTACTCACTTTTTAGGGCACTTTTAGAAATATTATGTGATCAACACCAGAAGTGACATGAAAAGACAAGTTATTATATCTCCATTTTATAGATGAGAAAACATTTTTTTCCCCCTCTGAGTGTTATGTGGTCTATTTTCATGCGGTCAGAGATAAAAACAATTTAGAATGCAGCAGCTTCACTGGAAATAACTATTTCTGGATCTCTGAACCCAAATCTGTTGAAGTCCTTGTCCAAGGTCAACAAAGCCATTATCTATACTTTTCAAAACAACCAACTTAAAATTGTATTTTGGAAACAAAGTTGATTCATAAAAGCAGATTTCAAGAGCTTTCTACGAGAAATTTCTGCTTGCTATTTGTTAGCATATTTAGTAGGACAATTAACTAACATCCCTTGCTTTATCTTTGCATGGACCTGAGAGGTGAATTCTCATCATGAGTAGGACAATGGCAAAAACCCAGGAAGGCTAAATTCTCTTTCTGAGACCTAAACATTGAAAGAACCAAGGAGCTACTATTTGTTGCTATTGATTGCAACAAAATAATCTTCAAGCATTTTTAAGGTGGGGATTTCTTGCCCATGTTTTAGGGGAACATGTTTTTATGATGTGCAAGCAAATTTGGCTCCTCTTTCTTCAAATCAAAACGTAAATATTTGAGTTACATTTATTTGTGCTGAACAAATGACTTCCATAGGGAAAACTGAAATTTCACTTTCAAGTTAGTAAAACTTATATATTTTTTAAATTACTGGTATATAAAAAGATCCAGCTGTCTTACGAGTGCTACAATATACATATGCAATGCATATATGCTCTCTATAATCGCAGATACCATTTTGAAAGATCTGAAATTTCTTTTAAATTTTTTAAAAGGCTGTATTTTTATCAGTTCTCAGAACTGATTTTTTGAGTAAATTATAAAAGTGCTTTAAAGAGGATAATACTTTCACTAAAATAATTAGAAATGTTTAAGTTTCCTTATTACTGTGATCATTTCAAATTGGTTTCATCACTGTGTACAAATTATGAAAATTTTATAACATGAAATGATTGTATATCCATAGGACAGCAGTATGATCTTAAATTTGATTGATAAGAAATATATCTATAATTATAAAAATAAAATAGCAACTCAGTTAGATTAAATTAAGAAGATAATATAACTTCACACTGCTCACCTCCTAAAGAATGTATTCTATCACCAAATTAAGTAATTTTGTATTCAAATGTAGATGAAGTAGTTAATATAATTCATAGATATATAAATGTGACTCAGGAGATTAATGGATTCAAAAAAGCAGTAAGCACTGTTGTGAATTATACTCTGCTTACAATTACTCAAAGACAACTTTTAAAACTCAGCAGCAATCAACATATATAGAATAGTTAATGAAGGATTTATAGAAAGTCTTATGTGATCCATAATTTACAGTATATATATTTTTTATGTGTATGTTGCTGGAGACCTTATGTATCTCAAATGCCATAGCCTAAACTACATTACTTTTTAATTATTCAGTATAATCATGGGGCTCATTATAAATATATGACATATAAAGTTACTAAAAAATGTGCCCTATATACTGTCAGTTTAAATTCATAACAGATGTTTAAAATTTTCTGTATTCTATGATGTACATAATCCTACCAATAGCTAAGAAGAGCAAATGGCTCATTTTGGAAAGAAGAGAGAGCATTAACATTTTCAGACTGAAATGGTTCTATCTCCTGAGGAAAAGTCATTTAGTAAATGTTACCCTATTGATGTAAAAGAGTTAACTCTTCATGGCTTTGATATCTGAAAGTCTGTGACAGAACACAAGGTTCTTTTACTGAGAACCTATACTTTAAAAACCCAAAACACTCCAAGAAAATAAATACCATGTCATTAATATAAAAAAAATAGCAAGTAACATCATGGAATCAATTAGAAGTAAGCAGATAAAGTCATCAGTCATACAAAATGCATATGTTATGCGTGGTAGTTGGAATATGTCTACTACGACCTCTTCATTTTAGGGATAAGATGCTTGAGGTAGCAGTGAGTATATATAAATGTCTGGTAAAATGTATTTTTTCTCCACATGTGCTAATTGATACTGATATTAAAGTTAGCTAATTTAGCTAATATATCTCAAATATATATTAAAAGTTACGACATAAAATAATTACCAATCTGAAAGATAATTTAATACTAATATGTGAACAGTAATTTCTCTTATTAACATTCTTATTTAGCATATCAGCACCTACTCTAAATCTTATTATTTAATAGATGATAATTGCTATTATGTGATATTTTGGAAATATTGTCCAAAAATAAGAAGTCACATCCTGGAATACTAGTATCATGCAAAATCTCTAAAATCATTTGCATTTTAGTTGATTTCCTCTTTTGGTATCCATGCATGAAACTGACTTTCCTATGTGAGTTTTTTTCTGGTAAACTTTTCTTCACTCTTCAAATTCAATTATTAATGTCCTCTTTAATGAACAGTGCTTCATTATATGGCATCTATTTTCTATAAATCCATGTTTGCATTTTCAGTACATAAAGATGACAGTGATAACTTTACCCCGTTCCCCAGAATGATTTCAGCAGGAAAAACTGTTATTGTCATTAAAAGATAAATGCCTGATAGTGAGTTGTGATTCAGTACCTCTTCATGGCTCTATGGAACACAGGTCATATGCTGGTGACAAACAAATATTTCTCCTTACTGTGATTAGACCAACCTGAGAGACTGCCACTCCTCTCTGAGCTGTTGTGAGAGCTGGTGGTGCTGAAATCCTGTGACTGGTTGTGTGGCATTCTATTAGACAATCCCTCAGCCAATCGGTAGTCAGGGATGTAAAGTAAGGCTAAGGGTTAAAGGGCAGAGGTCATAGTGGCATCATGTGATTAGTTCACAGCACAAGCCCATGCAGAACATGCAGTTAGCAACTCAGAAGCAGATGTTGTGGGACGGTGGAGGAATGTTTTGTCTTTCCTGTCCTAATGGAAGTAGAGATGGATTGCTGATCAATCTATTGAAAAAGAGCTAAAAGGATGGAACCAATTGGTGTCGGTGTGTGGTGATAGCGACAGTGGTGGTGGTGAAGGTGGTAGGGATTGTGCAAGGTTCTGAACACATGCCAAGATTTGTTTTTTTTTTTTTTTAGTTTAGGTAGCAAACCTGGTGATGAATCACTGAACTGGACAACGGATACTAATTTCTATCTCATGCACAAATGATATGGAAGAAAGTCCTCAGGAAATCACCTGACTCACCATTGTTACCTTTGTTTTGATCAGGCAGGGAATAACCAAATCCCATCAGATCTGTTTTTTGCTGAATTGAACTTTTCCACTGCGGATCAGGTAGCTCGACAGCCAATTCGTGTATGCTGTTGGAATGCAAGATCTGTGTCGTGGCATACGGGGTGGCCTGTGTTATTTGGCTAGAACTATTGTAAGTGGTTTTGGTAGTGAAGTCAATGCTGCTATAAATGGCTCCATCTGAGAGCATCGTTGCTGTTTTATCCCCTTGGCCTGGAACTGGTGGCAGCGCATCTGTGGTGAACATAGAAAATGAAAAAATTTAATGATGCACAGGAAGCCCAACTTCCTCGGATTGAAGATGAAAAATAAATGTGTCATGCTGCACGTTTGCATTTTAGCTGAGATGGGCTTCATGAGCCAATGAAGGGGAGATGATATACAACTATCGCCCACTATCAGCCTCATGACAGGCAGCTACTGCACGTCCTTCACGTCTCACTGCTTCACACACCCCTCCCCATCTTCCTCAACCATGAAAGAGAAGTTTGGGATATTCATGACTGAAAAATGCTTGCAGTTGCTTGTTCTTTTATAAATCCCATGAAAATTTTAGCTCTTTACAAAGCATTTGTAAGAATGAATCCACAAATCGGGGATGAAACTGTTTTTTTTTTTTTTTTTCCACTTTGTCCTATAAGGCAAGGAATATAATTGCTGACTAGACCAAAAAAAAAATTCCAAAATTATACTATACAGACCATGACATACATTTTTTTACCCTTAAGTTTCAAATTGTCTTTTATCTGAGTTGATTTCACAGCTCTGGAAATGGAGTGTAACTGATAGTAGCAAACGTGTATTTTTTTTCCCCCTTGGTAACAAAGGAATATTTTCATGAATAAGTCATTTTAACAATACTGTGGGATTTAACTACAGAAAAGGCAATCTGAGTGATCAACGAGTTTAATTTATGCTTCTAACTCTTAGAAGTAGAGAATTAGGGTTTCAGGTTGTAATACAGCAAGAGTAAAATTAAACTTCAGGAACGACACTGAATATCAATCAGTCCACTTATCATTTTGGTGTGCTGAATTACCCTTCCTGCTTTTAACACAAAACTGCCACCTCGTTCCTGAGCTCTTATTTTTCCTTGTCAGAGAAAAGACACTAAATGAATCTTTAAAGAAAAAAAAAATCACCAAGTCATACTCTTAAATTATATAGAGTTAAAAGTGAATCTAAGTATGGTATGCTTTTTAAGAATCTAGGCTCTGAAATCCAAACTTTATGAGGCTTTAGATTATTGACCCATTTGATTTCCTCATGATGAGAATTTTCAACAAGTAGTACGAAGTAGCAAAATAATCTCAGTACCAAAACAAAGGTGACATCACAGGGAGAAAATAGATGCAGCAGTGTGGTCAAGATATTCTAGAACTTTTATATTTGATGTTATCCGATGTTATTTGAAATAAGAATTTTTATAAAAATATCACAATTTTGCATTTCACAAAAGCTAACAATTGTTTTCTTCAGCAACCATAATAAGAAATTTAAAATGTATTTTATATAGAGTATTACGCAAGTATCTCTGAAGATTTTGAAGACTGAATTCTAATTTGATTACAGTTATATGGATATGTATTTAACTGAAGTAAATATTTTAAATGAATATCAATGGTTATTAAATTAAAATTTATATTTCACCGATTTATAGAATTAAATGAAATTGCTTTTTGCGTTCAGAATTTCACAACTGCTTTTTGTCCATCTTGTTTTTGGCTATAATTAGAAAATTTGATGATTAAGAAGCATATTTCATTGCCAAGTATCAATTTTATATTTATTCTTGAATAAAAAAATAAATAACATACCAATATTGTAAAAATAAACCCTTCCCTAGCTTCCTAACACCTTGAACTTGAGGTGTTCCAAAACTTAAGATTTAGATTGGATATCACCTTAGTTACAATTTTTAAAGTGGTTATGTGTTCCAATGTTCAAAATGGAAAAAGTAGAGGAAGAATCTAACCCCACATAATACTACTCTTTTAATAACAATTAAAACTATGAGTCTAGTTGTAGAATATCGCTCTGATGATAGATGAAACTATAGTCGGCCCATTAAGCCTAAGTTTTTCTCTCTTGATTGGTAGGTTTATGCTTCCTTCAAATACTATTGAATCATTCTTCATTTGTAAAAGATTGAATTATCCCAATATTGAAAAGTGGGAAGATTATACATTAATATCTACATGCAGTTCCTTCTTACAGCTTATGGATGAGAATTCTGGTCTAGCCTTCCTCCCACAGCCATCCCTGAATAGGAACCCATTCCTGAATAGGAACTTCCGCCTGTGCTCTGGCAGGACTCCCCAGATTCCACTCTTACCATCCTCATCTACCCATCCCTAAGTGCTTTAGGGTATCTGACTCCAATATTCGAGTTTGGGAACCTATTAATTATACAAAACAAACAAACACACAAAAACTTCTTTACAGTTAAAATTACTCATAATTCATTTTAGAGCTTTAGCAGCTCAGTTAACATTTATTCTGCCCTGTTTGGACTATTGTATGCATAGTTGTCTCCATCACTCTATCATAGCTTACTTGGAAATGTCTGTCTTTCCACAATTCCTCGCCTAGTGTTTTGACTAGAGTAACTATGCACTAACTGGTTAAAGTAATTTTCATAATTTGTTTGCACTGATAAAATGCAGGCTTATGCAATAATTAGTAACTTCACGATTCAAAATGTTATTTCCATTATGTTTGTGCATATATAGGTAACTTGTTCTTACAAGGAAAATAACAATATCCATGATATTCTCCCAAGTTAATGCATTCTATAATCAACATTGGAATCCATTTTTAGAACTGCAGAGGTAAAAAATATTTAGGTGTTAGAGTCAGATCTCATAGTATTCTTCTTCATACACCTTAGTTTCTTGACACTTCAAATGAAAATACGATTATCAATGTCATACAATTATTCTGAGGAAATGAAATAACATGTACAAAAAGTCCTAACAATATTTCTGTTGCATGTAACTACTTAAAATGTCTACTACTATGAAGAGACAAAGTAAATCTTGCAAAATATTTTGTGGCTTTGAAGTTCATCACTTGACACGAGCTATGCAACCTCTGTCGTCAGACACAGTCCGGATGGAGGGGAATTGCTCTGAAAAATCAGACTTTCCATGCTAACTTATGTTATGACCTCCCTTTTTTGTATAACCGTAATATCAAAATATTCTGAGCAACTTTTAGCTTACAATTGGACTGCCTCAGTCGCACAAGGCCTGCCTGCCCTGACAAGCAAGCACTGCACCAGGGTGAAAAAATTCCCCTGAAGTCAAGTGACTTGACTACTGACTGATAAAAGCAAAAGGGCTATTTTTGAAAAGTCTCTCTCACTGCCGGATGGAGGATAACCCAAATCTTATCATTCTATCATCTCACCTAGCCTTCTATTCAGCCTTTTAAAGAATTACTCAAACTTCCTATTGTCTAGCCTTTAGATGTGGAAATTCATCCAGGTTGCCTATTTTTAAACTAGTCAAGTTTTCCACCTGCTACACCTTAAAGGAATCCACAAAAGTCTTCTTGCTAGTTTTTCAGGATTCTACTATGTAATCTTTAGATAAAGAAATTCACCCATGTCTCCTATTCAGAGATTTGATTAGCAAGGAATTTCCTCATCTGTCTCCCAGGATGATTCATGCAGAAAAACAAAAACCCATTAAGTAGTAGATAAGGCTTAAGGGACTTCTATCTTAGTTGATCTCCACTATAGTAATATTAGTCATAAATTTTGTGCACCTATGTACTTGTTTTTAACCTTGATTGATTTTGGAATGTTGTATCTCAGCTAAAGGGCAATGCGACCCTAAACTGTTCTTAGGAAAAACAAAGGAGATTGTAATCTCTCAGCCCAGTTCGTGTGCTGATCCCACTGCTTGCTCCTAATGTATAAAATAAACCTCTGCTGAAGGCAGAGCTGAAAGACTTGCACCCAACTCTGACTCCCGTGTCTTCCTCGCTCTCCTTTCCCGTTTTCACTCCCTTTTCCCCTTTTTTAGGAATCTCCACTCGCCGAAGCCTTCCCACCTTAGGGTCCTGCCTGTCTTGCCTCCAGACACCTCAATAGTTGGAGCTGGTTTCCAACAATCACTGAAATATTTCATGTCATGAAAATGAGGTTAATATAAAGAAAAGCCTTGGGAACCTACAGATGTATCCTTTGGTCAAATTAGACTGAGACATTCTAGAGGTTAGCATAGCCTCCTAGAAACTGAAAAAAAAAAATGAAGTTTTTCCATCTTCAGACATTTATTTCTTGATACGAAGATAGAATGGCATGTTATTTCCATAAAGGCAGAAAGCCCCACTATTCCAGACTTATAAAATCTGGAAACCGATGTTTTTTGATAAAAATCAATCTGGGCTGGGTAGTAAGGAGAGCTCTGCTTTCCTGGTGGGGGGAATGCTGTGCTTTGGAACCTGCCCATGGAAACATGGCAGCTTATCACTGAAGGTTCAGAGCTGAGTCACTTAGGGGAGGCCGTCACTCGCAGAGGCTCTGGGCAAGTGAGAAACCTAAAAGGAGTGCACTGGGTTAAAGAGGGTAATGAAGAAACCAAGGGGCATACTTTCGATCCTCTCATTTTCGCCAGTGATACCAAGCATGCATATATTGCTTATTAAGCTTTGTGTTGAACCATGTAGTTATCCATTCAATCCTCATTACATACTCTTCAAGGAAGGTATGACAATTTTCTGTATTTTATTTGAAGAATAGGAGGTTTATCCTTTGTGTGTGTGTGTGTGTGTGGTTCTTGTAATATACAAAATACAACTTGTGGAATGACTTATAACTTTGTTATTTTAAATGTCATTTTAATACATTTAATGTGGTGTTTGCATTCTATTCTTAAAGAGAAAATACCAGTGTCGACAAGATTACACATTGAGTATAATTTAAAATACTCTAACAAGTGAAATCCTCCCCTTAGGATCATAATGCACACAGAATATTTGACACACACACACACACACATATGCATATATTTGACATTGGACCCAGAGAATTCTCCTGTTGACTGGTTCAAATGTGGAGAGGGGGAGCTGATGATGATTATTTGTAGTGGGCTAAATTTTGTCTCCTTGCAAAAATCTGGTAACAAATGTTAAAGGCTTGAGCATGTTACATATGTGTCACATTTTTGACTTTCATTTATACTCTATATAAAAGTTCTTTCACAACGCGCTATATTTATTTAATATCAACTCCTTAGGGTGCATTACATGAGGTGTAATCTGTCTTTATATCGCTGTTATACTTTACTCTTTGCCATGATAATGAGTACATAGCTCATGCTTGATACATATATGATGAATGACTACTACCTAATCAAAAGCAGCATAGTTCCTGAGTTCATATGTTGTACTTATAGTCCTGAAAAAAAAAATGTATGAGCATTTTATCTTCTGGGTTAGTAATGACTTCACTAACCACTTATTTTTACTTAAGTTAATACAGATGCAAGTTTTATAATGAACTATTTAGCAAATATACAGTGCTGTTACTAAATGTGCATTATTCATTTTAAATATGGAATAAAATGATTTTTTTAAAGCATGAAGGACAGTCAAGGAAACAATAACAAAAATAAAAAAAAATGAAAAACACAACTTACCACCACGCCCAAAATTCCCAATCTCATTGGGACCACTATTGCTATTGTTCACAGGCAAGCTAGTGGCTGGCCATGAATCAGCAAGCCATGGATAACTGGGGTCACCAGCATTTAGAAGACCTGGACGGCTAAAAGAAATGAAATGGAGCTCAGTGAGAGATTTGGGAATCTATCGAAGGCACTAAAATGGATTAAATAACTAAGTAATGATTCCCTTCCAACTCTACAGAATTAAGAAATTTCAAGAGTTCATTAAGGCCGTATACGGATCAACTCTGTCAGCATTAGTATAAGCACCCTGCCAAGGATCCTGCTGACATCCCAAATGAATTCAGTTGTCTGCTCCGAAATTGGTAAAATAAGGAACCTAGAACAAGGTTGGATAATAAATTGATAACTCTAGGGAACAACTGCTTAGAGTGACTGCTCAGTATAAACCATTTTCAAGTCTTTGGGCTATTGCATCCTTGATTTCTGCAGTCTCCATTACTATCTGCCCTCTATAGCCTGTAGTCCATGGTATGGCCTTCATGCTTGATTTTAGAGTCAAGGAACTTGACAGAAATGAACGAAAAATATATATATTGCTCCATCACCAGTATATTTCTAACGTCTCCAGTTTACAAAATAGTAGGGATATATTAACTTGTAATAAAAGATCCACTGTGGTCTGATCTAGTATGTGCATTTGGTCTACAAGGAAAACTACTTTCATTCCATATTTTATAAAGAACTCCCATTTTTGATATGAAACATAGGAATCTGATTCCTTTCCATATTATTAGCATATTTACAAAGAAGTAGCAACATCTATAATCATCGGGCTTTTCTTTTTGATAGACCCTTTCTGGTATAATCCCTAAGAGAAACATGTGTTTCTATGGAAACTGCAATCAGAAGATCCAACTGCTTTCTTGCTACATCCACTAACTCTCATTAGACCTAATCTCTTTTTGCTAAAATATTGATTAAATGGGAGATTGGAAGTTATTACCAGAGCCTAATTACAATCTCCATATTGGCAAAGGGAAAATAGATGAGGATATATGGGTTTGTTATCAGCTTTTATCAATTTCAATTGAGTATCCAAAGTTGTAGAATCTAGTCTTATCAATCTACAACCTATTCATCATCCATGAATCATTTACTTTGTGATCGATTATGTGTAATTGTTCACTCACAGCAATTTAGTGAGAGCCAATAAGGAGTCTTAAACAACAGCAACTTCATTTGCTAATGTCTAATTAATGCAATAAACATCCTGCTAACAAATGAACACATTCCTTGTGATATTTACTACTAATTTCTTCAGGGGCGTCTGGGAGATATGAAACATCTGGACTTGATTCCTCTAAAGTGCACAACAGATAGATCATTAAGCCTTGTGGTAAGCCATTTAATTCCTCCTAGAATTCTCAGAATTGTAAGTGATCGTTTATTACAATAATAGCCTCTTACTATAGAGGTTCTCCAGACCTGATTAAAAATAATAATAATAAAAAATCTCCTTAGCATACCTTCCATTGCTCATTAGTCCCCCATCTCCTCTTTGAAATGTAACTGTAAAAATAGAAAGACACACACAAGCAGTCAATATTAATTACGATTAATAACAACTACATATTGGCCCTTACTTTAGAGCTGAGACCTCTGGGAATTTTAACAAAATATAATTAACATAATTGTACAGAGAGTAAGAAGCAGTGGTTTGGCCCAGAGCAAAGCCATTATTTGTTCCAACTTTATTAAGACGTTTTCAAATTCTTCAAGCCAAATTTATGGCTAAGTCAAAGAGGCAATTTGTATTTAAATGTCAAAACCAGCTACAACTAGTATATGCAGTGCTACTGAAGATTGGCATACATTAATGGTGAATTACAAAGTTGTGTTTTTAAGTCTTAACATACGAATGCCCTGACTTGGAGGCACAGAGAAAAATGTCCACAATAGAAATTGTAACAGGATAGATCAAACAGATATTCTCATCTTTTTTTATGAAATGAGAGGAAATGGGACTGACTGACAACATGTTCTTGTCATCACTGATCCATTCAGATACCTGTGCTAAGAAAGAAGCACTATAAGTGGAACTAAACTGCAATAGACCTTGCTGCAATTAATACAACTGGTAGTTAATACAAAGCAACCTCTAATTAATACAGCTGCAATCATCCAATCTTCACAAAAATTAAATTTTCAAAAAAGTGATACTGAATATATTTAATTTTACTGTAATAATTACAAAACTTTAAATACTTTCTAAAACCATGGAACTTATTAACAACAGTGGCATCAAGTACAGTCACACAGGAAGACTTCACCCCCTCTAGTCACTGGATTTCTTTCTACAAATTTAACAACATGAAATTGGGTTTTAGTGATTGACCAAAGAATGTAAATATCAGACTGGGTCCAATATCATTCATATAAAACCTTTACTACCAGGGATATATTGAATTAAAATATTTCTGTTCAGAGAAATGTAATGTGATACTACATGCAGAGTCTGAGGCAGCAACTGTATTCAATTTTGTTGCAGTGAAATGTGAATATTACATGATTAATAGGATAAGCCTAAAGTCTCACATTAGTTTGTTCAAATTTTACCACTAAATGACCTAAATAGAAAATAATGGTGAAAAATTGTGTGGAGAAGTTTGTGCTTTTCAAATATACAACTCTGACAAATATTAATACTGCTCAGCTAAACCCACCACTGGGGATAAGTGAAAAACAACACAATTTCATCAATGTGTATTTAATATAGCTTATTGTGGGCAGATATTGTTTATATTTAGTATGATTACTAAGTAAAGGTAAAAAGCAATGAAAATTTTATGAATTTATTCTTATTTTAAATAAACCAAGGACATATTGTGACTTAAAGTATAGACCTAGTAAAACTTTTTTTTTAATATTTATGTATACATACAGAACTGGGGTACAGGCCAGAGGCTCAGGAGTGGTGAGAGGCTTCACCAGAGACAGAGTGGGGAGCAAAACAGGCAGAATGACAAAGTACACTACTGAGGGGAGCAGCGGATGGGGCAGGAGAGGTCTGCTATGTCATGTGGGTCACCTCCCTGGCCGGGGATCAAACTTGTGCTGAAGCAGCTGTGGCTAGTTTTGTAGTGCTGTGCTTTAACTCACTGCACCACTAGGAGTGGCCTGGGAAAACTTTTTAATGTGAATATTCTCTTCATAACTCATCTATGCCTCAGTTCTGTACTTTCAAATATGCTCATACTTTAAATTGTCTAAATTTCTAACTGCAGTTTCCTAGTACTTTCTCAAGGGTCAGCTAATGATGCATTACTCACACTACCATGATTAGGAGACATAATTCCAAGATCTCTCAGGACTCTTGGAGGCAGGCCTTTGGTTACATTCTGTGGCACCTGCACTATTCTGCCTTATCAATTTTTCAGGTACCTTCTCTAATGCATTATAAAACAATCCTGACATGACCTTTCTGTCTGGCCAGGACTGATTATGAACAGCTCCTTGGAGAACAAGAAAGAATACTGATCACTATTCTGCTTCCTGAAAAGCTGGCCCAGGTCCAGGGAACCCAGACTCAGCCGTGTGTCCACACCATATTGCATCCCTTTAATAACTGCTATTAACAAAGAAAGACAAATTAATCTACAACAATTAATGAAAAAAATTGAGCAGTGGAGGTATTAAATAAATGCCTGATTAGGGGAGAAAAACACAAGTACCGTGAAAAGAATATAGCTAATTAGCTTTCTATCTGATGTGACTTCCTAGTCATGTGTTTTTTTTTAATGGACTATCAAGTGATTGTTTTACTCTGCTAGAAGAGAGTTAAAATAATGTTGTGAATATCACTGAGAGTATGCAAAGTAGGCATTGATGGGCTACACCTTAAAATATTCCATTCAGGAGGTATGTGGGGAGAACCTAAGAATTTCTCCCTAACCTAGGTTTATTTTTATCTTAGTTTAAAATTTTTGTTATAGAGAGAGCAAGAAATGACATTAGAGAAAAGAACTGAAACAGAAGATTAAGTGAGTTTGTACTTTAACTCTCACAGCAAATCCTTTATAAAATAAAAAAAAAATTAAAGCATTATGATGCAATATTCAAAATTTTATAAAAAGTATTAGAGAAAAGAACTGAAACAGAAGATTAAGTGAGTTTGTACTTTAACTCTCACAGCAAATCCTTTATAAAAAAAAAAAAAAATTAAAGCATTATGATGCAATATTCAAAATTTTATAAAAAGTATTAAAGTAGCCAATAAATATATGAAAAGATGCTCATTGTATCACTAATCATTAGGAAAAAGAAAACCAGAGCTAAAAAGAGATTCTACTTTACACCTATTCTGTTGGCTACTGTGTGAGAAACAGACTATAATAAGTGTTAGCAAGGTCCAGGAAAAAAATGGAACACTTTGCATGGAAATAGAATAATCTGTAAAATGGTACAGCTACAGTGAAAATGATATGACCTTAAAAAATTAAAAATGAGAACTACTATGTGATCCAGAAGGTCCACTACTCAAGATATGGCCAAAAGAACTGAAAGCAGAGATTCAAGGATATTTATATTCATAAATTCACAATAGGTAAAATGTAGAAGCAACCCAAATAAGTGTCAATCTAAGAAATGACAATTAAAATATGCTTCAAATATGCAATATTTCACACTGCTAAGATGTAGATGAATTTGAGGACATTATGATATAAACCAGTCACGGAAAGACAACTACTACATGATCCCACATATGTGAATCAAGTTCTGAGAACATGGAGATACAGGCCAGAATGTTTGTTGCCAATTGTTTACTAGGTGCTGAATTTCAGTTTTAGAAGATAAAAGGATTTGTGGTGATGAATGTTGGTGAAGGTTGCATATCTCTGTGAATGTATTTAGCTCCACTGAACTGTGAATTTAAAAATAGTCAAGCCAGTAATTTCTATGTTATGCTATAATACCCACCCAAAAAAATTTGGAAAGAGGGTATCATTTGAGGTTAATTAATATATGTTTGAAATTGGATTTTATGGTATGGCCCACATCTATCAATTAAAATTAAATATTTAGAGTGAAATAATTTTAAATTTTGAAGTACTGAAATTACTTTTTATTTATATTCCACTAATTCTAGTCATCATTATAATGTTTTCAAATGGCTCTAGACTGCTAACAGATTATCAAAATATTCCATAAAGAATACATTAACTGTAAAAGGCAAAAATAAACAGTGTGTTATGTAAATAAATGATTCATTTAAAGGGCCCAGAGCAGAAGCGGATATACATGAGACTCTTCTATTTTGTAGATTTGTATTAGGAAAAAGTAATAGCATCCTTATCACCTTAAGGAGAGTCAGTTGTATTTTTTTTTTTAGGTTTATTTATTTGTGCATACAGACTGGGGTACAGGCCAGAGGCTCAGGGGCGGCGAGAGGCTTCACCAGAGACAGAGTGGGGAGCAGAGAGCAGAACAGGCAGATCGATGAAGTACACTGCTGAGGGGAACAGGGGTGGGTCAGGAGAGGTCTGCCACACCATGTGGGTCACCTCCGGGTCAGGAATCGAACTCATGCGGAAGTGGCTTTAGCTTCTCAATGCTGTGCTTTTAACCTGCTGAGCCACCAGGGAGGGCCACAGTTGTATTTTTAATGAAAGAAGAATACAGATATTTTTCCTAGTTTCCCTTTCATCCTATCCTCTAAACCTTGGTTTATTATATTTTAAAAAGTGAATAAAAAAACACCTGAAGTCTGATAGACTATGAGATGCAAAGAAGACTAGAAATAAGAATGAACAATTACAACTCCTAATATGTAAGTCACATTTGGTGTTTTGAGCCTCATTTGCATGTTTGTGAAAAGAGAGTTTAATGTAAAAATAAATACACTGCAATATAAAAGCTGTTTGAGACTGCTCTCATTTCAAAGAGATATTGAATTTCCTTGAAGGCAAGAGGTTGAGAAGCACAGAGAGTTGGACAAGCTCGCTCTACTTATGATGTTGATTATCACAGTATAGCAACTTTGTGTTTGCCAGAGATAAATGTGAAATAAGTATCTTTCCTAGGACTTCCTACTCACAAAAGCTTTCACGGAACAATGGTCAGAAGTTTGTTGTTTTCCCTAAAACTAACAGAAGAGCATTAACATTTTTCCAAAGGTCTATGAGCACTACAATCTTATTAAACACGTTAGGACTGCTTTAAATATTTTGAATTGATGGCAATATTTTCAAAGGATACAAGGTGAAAGGATTTTGTGAGTTTATATCACAGGCAAAGTACCTCTACTATTTTCTGACAGACTTAATCCTAATCTCTTGCCTGCTAGAATTGAGGGGGAAGGGAAATACAACTATGTGGTAAATTGACATTTTGTAGTGAGGAAGCTTTCAGAGTGCTATCTCTAGTGGGCCACATTTTCCTACTCCAAATGGAAACTTTAATGTTGGCAGCCAAGCTTCATTCCTTTTCCTGATAAGCTATTTCTCAAATATGAATGTAGATTAATCCTCTTTTAATAAGAATTAACTCAGCCTAGATAATCAGAGTATAAAAATTACATCAAATCTTTTAGCTTTCTTTGTTCAATTTTGTCAAATAATTTATATTTTACCAGTGGCTTAAAATTTACATATGAAGTGTTTAGCATTTCATAATTTTCTCTCATTAAATTGTTTATAGTTGTTGTTTTTAAAATCTGTTATTCACAACAGTAATGCTCATATAATACAACTTAAAAGTGAAAATTCTTGTAAAAGTGGAAACACATTTACATTCATTAAAAAAGTGGATTAAAATCTACTTAAAATTGTGATTAAGAAAATAAACAACAAAAATTGAAGTCATGTAGGCTTCACAAATACATGTATATACATGTATACACACACAGACACACACGTATACACACACACACACACTGCTTTTTTAAATTAAAAGTTGTGATTAGAAAATCAACAACACAAGGCCCTCCCTGGTGGCACAGGGGGTTGAAGCACAGCACTAAGAAGCTAAAGCCACTTCAGCATGAGTTCGATCTCCGCCTGCCCCGGAGGTGACCACATGGCGTTGCAGACCTCTCCTGACCTGCCCACTGTTCCTCTCAGCAGTGTACTTCATTGATCTGCCTGTTCTGCTCCTCACTCTGTCTCTGGTGAATCCTCTCACCGCCCCTGCACCTCTGGTCTGTACCCCAGTTACAAATAAATAAATCTTAAAAATAAAAAAAAAAGGAAAATCAACAACATGAACTTGTGATTAGAAAAACCAGCAACATGAATTTGAAGAGTGATATAGGCTTCATGAATATCTCTTTATAAATAAATGATATGGGTATAGCCCCATGTTATATACTATGTAATTGTATCTTTTTTTCAAATTCACTTTTTTTTTTTTAATTTAGATCTCTGGATTTAAAAATTACCTAATATTTTCCATATTTGATTTTTTTTCTATTTTTGCCCAAATCTCTTTACAATCCTATTTTACTCTCTAACATCTCAGGGAGTAAGAATTGCTCAGCCAGACAGGAAACTTTACATGAGTGACAAGTAGACTGTTAGCGCTCAATGAAAATCGAGGTAAATAATAGTGTATGTTTGTCTAGAAAAGCATATGGTTTCACATCGTTTATGAAATGGGGATGGATGTTCAACTCTCATTTCAACTGTCCTTTGCGCAAGTACAAACCGGTGGTGCATGTTTGTGTTGAAGAATTTCATAAGAATAAATATGAAAAAACAAGGTAGAAAGTTAAGAGCACTTCCCCACAGAAATATCCACTTTCTTCTAAGCCTAGAAGCAAAATATCCAGGCCAAATCCTATGCTTAGGTCACTGACATGTCTAAATTTATGTTTGATTCTTGATCATTCCCTATATATCCATCTTTAATCCACTAATATCTATTGAAAAATATGTTAATATCCCCTGACATATAAGAGATACTAACACTGCATAGCAGTATTCAAATATAATTTTCCACATGATGAAGAGTCAAAGATTGACCACAAAGAACAAAGTCAATGGGTAAGACTTTGCACTTACACAAGGTGAGTGGGAAGCATTGTGCCTGAGTTAGACTCTCTACCCTGACTAACTCTCTCCCCACTAGTTATTATCTTTGCTATTCTAGCTGTTAGGAAGAGATTTGCAATGAAGTTGAGTAATGGGAGTACTGAAGTCTAATTTCATGTGCTTTCGGTCAATTTACTTTTACTAAAATGCCTATCTTTAATCTATGTAGATTATAAAAATGTTATATCTCAGGATCACAATTTGAAATAAACAAAATAGAAGTTTAGTACTAATACCAAAGTAACCTTTTTGTTTAATTGTAAAAGAAATTATTGATGCTATCATGATTTGATAGTAAGGATTTGAGACTATTATTGCCAACATCATGCAAAAAAAAGTGAAAACACCAGCCTTATCATATTATGGGTAAAATCACATTGTTTTCATTCTACTGGCTTAGTTTTCATACTTATAGTTTAGAAGTTTCCGAGAAATTTTTATAAAAACCAAAGAACCAGTATAAATAAAACAAATTTTCTATAATTTTTATACATACACGAGGAAAAATATTCCCATATGAGGCTCCTATGCTCTTAAGTTAGATTATTAGTTTATTAATATATAAATGGACATAGTAATGTAATAAATTTAAATGTATGAGAAATGTATTAGTTAATAATCATTCTTATTTAAAAGCTCTGTGTTCTCTTAAATTATATGAAACAAGAATATGAAAAAATTTAAAAGTAGAGAACAGGATATTATGGAGGAAAATGTCACAAAGTCAGATATGTAATTCTAGGTACTTATAGTTTACATTTTCACTTGCTTTTCATCTAAAAGAGAACCACAGCTGCTGGAAGGCAAATTATGAGCTGAAGGTGAATCTATTCTGAAAGTCAGCCATATATCAATTAAGTATCAAGGTTCCTAAAGGTCGCTCTCTGAGTTGGCCTTATTCTAAAATGTTCGAAGGGCACAGCACCTTCTGAGTTAGCAATTCTTCTACAAGCAGATGAATATCAATCACAATAAGAAATGATAATAGGAAATACACTATTCCCATCAAGCTCAAAGTCCAAGAGATGTATTTCAAACAACATGCACGGGGTTTGCAAAAGAAATCCTATTTTAAAATAAAAGGGAAAACATCTGACATAAATCTTCTAAAATGCAGAACTACTAATTACGAGAGCTATACCATTTACAAGGAACAAATGAATGATGCATGGAGGATAAAAATGCCTTCAAATGTGTGTATCATAGAACTCTGTGCCATGTGGATTAGCACAGTCAATAGTTTATTATGTTCCTTAAGGTCAAAAAAGGAATAAATATGAAACAGTTCTTGAATTCCATAAAAATAACCATGGATTTATATGGGCATGCCACTGACAAGAAATCCTATTTGATTGGTGATTGATTAAGCAATGAGGTGATGAACAGCACCTTCAGGGATGACGCTTGAGGGACTGTTTTTAAAAGCCAGAAGGTACAATGAAGTATCATCGTTGTTCAAGATCTCGACAGTCAGCGGTTTCTGCCTAATGTTCCCTTTTGGGAAGAATCCCTCACTGTGTGTTCAGACAGCACTGAGATGACAATGCGTAAGGAAGCGGGAGGTTTACAATCAATGAAAAATGAAAATGGCAGAATGATAGCCAGTCACACAGTCTGCTGGAAGATACTTTTCAGTGGCTAAAATATACTAATTTCTGTAGGCTTGGGACATTATTCTAAACAGTAACTAACAAATTTTATTTTCATAAAATATAGACAGGATCAGATTTCAGTGTTGTCAAGTAAAAAGCAAGGCAACCATGTCAGTGCTCTTCCTTACATTTTGTTCTATTTAGGCATTCTTAGCAACTTGGAAGCTTACAAGCTACTATAGTTGTTAAGCTTAATAAGTACTGAAACTTCAGTCAAAATCAATAATGAAGACATGTATGCTTCTTAAGAAAATTAAAATTAAAAATAGAAGATTAAATAAAATGAAATTTCTAAGAAGTTTGTAGGAAAATGGAAAATCAAGTTGTGTTCCCTTGTAAATTCTAGAATGTGAAATACTGTGAGACAATTTCTTTTAATGATTGTTCTTCCTAGAAATAATTACTCAGAATGAATTGCAATTAAATTTGTCATTGGGGGGTCTCCTTGGTGTTGCAAAGGGTTAAAGCACAGCACCATGAAGCTCTCCACAGCCACTACAGCGCAAGTTCAGTCCTCGGCCCAGGCAGGTGACCCACATGGTGTGGCAGACCTCTCCTATCTCACCCGCTGCTCCCCTCAATAGAGAACTTCAGTCAATCTACCTGTTCAGTTCACCACTCTGTCTCTGGTGAATCCTTTCACCACCACTCCCAGCCTGTACCCTACTTCTTGTATGCATGAATAAATGAATCTTTAAAAAACTTTTTAAAAAGTCATTGAACACAGTTTTTATACTGAGTTCATTCTTTCTATTAATGACTTGATAATTGTATCTCTCCTTTTTTTCTCTCCTGTCTTCCCTCATCTTTACACCTCAACATCCTGGAAACTCTTGAATTCCAAGAAAAGCTTGAGTTGTAAATAGCCACAATATCTAGGGTCTTTCCCCTACCTCTGTTCCCTTTCCTGCTCCCTTTCTCTTTTCTTCTAAAATGCTGATTGATAGGCATTTGAAATAAATACCCTCTATCTGTTAATAATATAACACTTAATTCATACCTCAATGGTGTTATTAAATCTGGTGAGGTTTTGTGTTTGCATCTTCCCTTTGGGACATGTCCTTGAACTACAGGTAGTTATATTTAAAATGTAACATTTTACCCTGAACACTTTGGTAAAACACTTAACTAAGTAACCACTGGAAAGTGTGTGGGTGGACAAAAGTGGTTAGGTATTTTATCAGTGTGTACTCTTGCCATGTTTTACTAGAGATAAAGAGATATGCCTTATGGACTTAATATGATATGGTAAACAGTGATACATTAAAACATGGTGTTTAAAACTGCATTTTATAGAGTAGGTATTTAAAACAAGCCAAATGCATTCATTAATTCACTCACTCTTCCATTCTATTTCTCATTTTTTCATTTTATTACATTCTTAAAGGTAAGAGTTCTCTTAGCTGGAAATATTCTCTTACCAGCATAGTTACTGAGTCCCTTTCTCTTCTTTCTTCGCCAATACAACCAGATGCTAAAACCCATCAAAATTACCCAACAGGCACCACCAATACCGGCTATAAAGGCTGGTTGCTTCACAACGTCAGTGATTTGTTCAGTTATGCTGTTATTGTTTTCAGTAATGACAACTTCATTACGCCCCCCTATGGAAGAAATAATATTTTTACTATAATTAATACAAAAATAAGCACGGCAAATATGTACATGGGCATGAGAAAATTTCTTCAGAGACAAGTGATATCTGTGCCTGGAGTATGTCATAATCATTGATATGCATATTTGATGATTCAGAAAAAGAATCAAATTATAAGTTCAAAATGTGATTAATAATATGTTCCACTATGTTTTGATTTATGGATTACAAGAACCACTTAAAAATAAACAGTAGAACAAATGATAGGAGTTTACACATAGCAACTTTTCTTCAATGCGGTAAAACAAGCTTTAATATAATTTTGTAAAGTACAAAGAAAGCAGCTGTAACACTTATCACAAGGTTTTGCAAACAATGTCTTTCCTTTATGGCACTGCCAAAATTCTAATGTTTATGATTCATCTAACATGTTAACTTAATACTGTGTTTAATATTCTATCAAATACCTTATTTTGGTCAAGAAGCCATTGATTATATCAGGGCATTGAGACTACATATGCATATGTGTGTGTGCGTGTCTGAGCGTGTATTTATGTGTGTATATGTGTGTATATATATATATACATGTGTGTGTTTGTGTGTGTATGTGTTTGTCTATTAACACAAGGTTAACTGAAAATAGTATTTGCAATTCCAACATATGACCCATATAAGACTAAGTATAAGACTAAGAGTTACTTAGAGAAGCTCAAGTTTCTTTGGGAAGTAGTGAATCATAAAGATTCAAAGTCCTACAAACCACAGGTGACTAATTTACCAGTGTCCCCTTTCTCCCTGTGCAGAAAATAAGCCTTTATTCCCCAGCCTCCCTAATAGTTCATGTAACAAAATTATTGGCCAAGTTTGTAGAAATTTGTGATTATGCTTCTTCTATACCTCACTCATGAACTGTTGTGAAAAATTTCATACACTTTTTTTCCTAATGTGCTGGATAGAAACAAAGGCTATTGGAGAATGTGAAGTCTCTAAGAAATTGAAATGCCATTGAATGGAAGGACTGAAGTTCTCGGAATAGTGGTATAGCACAAACACCCTCTACTTTATTCTCCTGGCTCATTAGATTAAGCTATGAATATAAAAGAAAACTACTATTAAGGTAATGCAGATTTCTGTTATAGCTTCAAGCATTTTCTTATACACATTATATTCTATTCCCAAAATATCTGTTATAGTAAATTCTAGATTTAATAATTACTTATATAATAAATCTAATTATTTTTCTCAAATTATGTCATTAATTATTATACATACAAAATTAATAAGGCATTAAGATGAATTTAGATTTTTAATACAAAACATATATATATATATATATATATATATATATATATATATATATGCTGATTTTTCTAATAGTGTTTATAAAAAAGAAAAGACAAATTTTCCTTCAACGATGTAATGGTTGGTGAAGTGTCATTTTTAATACAGCACAATATTTACGTTAACCAAAATGTATTACTATATCTTATGCTATTTTATATTATGCAAAATGTATAACTATTTCTTATGATATTTTTGAAACAATGTTGTCAGTTGGGCTAATTAGAACACAGACAAGGGCTGCATGTGACCCGCAATGCTCCATTGTTCTTGCAGACAAAAAAATATAATGAAATATAATGTCTTCCTCCCATTGGAGAGTAATGAAGAACAAAACTAATTTGTTGGACTAAAAATTAATTAGACACATCAGATTCGATTGTACCTATTACTGTGAAAGTTTGCAGCTGTTCCCTATATTATTACCAACTATATAAAGTAAGCGTGGAATGGCTAAATGAATAGAAAAACAAGTTATGAGGTTATTTAAGGTTGCTGAAAATTCTAAGTCACTCTAAGTTTGGTATAGGACTTGCTATTTCATACTTATATCTATAAATGTATTTTGTTGCATTTTTGTGCCTGAAAATGCAATAACACGGAACTAAGAGATTTTGATGCAAGAATTCACGTGAACAGGACAAATTGAAGAGAAAAAAATAGTAATTTTAAGTTTGTGTACAATACTTAAATTAACGGTCTCTACGTGGAACATTCTGGAATGAAAACTAAACTGAAAAGGAACAGATAGAAGAGCACATCAGCTGGCATAAGACAAATCTAAAATTATCAGACATAAATTATGTCAAATGTCAATACAGGATTTAATTAAAGCAAAGGGGAAATGAGGTAGAGCTTGAGACACTGCAAATGCTATTTCCAGAATGGACCAAACAATAGGGAAAACATAAATTGAAGCAGAAAAGGATATTAGCCATCACTAAATCACTTTTCAACTAAGGAACAGTTGTGTAGATACGGTTATCAGACAAGATGCTAAAGTAGATATGTGGGGGTAATTAAAGCAACAATTAAAGGCTTCTTCACTACAACAGTAGATATTAAAAAGAAATAAATCTTTTCAGGACAAATTGCCATTTCCTGATTGCACTGCGTACTCACAATTGTGTGTTTAATTCAATTGGCACAATTCTACTTTCATGATTACACCTAAACAATGCATGTTCTGAAGATTCAGAATAGAGATAGGAATGTAAAATAGTAGATTATTTTTCTTTTCATATAAAATACTTTAAAAAGATGTATGATACATTATATAATAAATTAAACAGTATTCCTAATCCATTTAAAGATTCCAGGCTTTTTTTTTTTAAATGACAGGGGTTTTCAGCAAAACTTTCCATTTCCATTTTATTTAAAATACTCAAAGTTAACTTTACTATTATAAGTTCACATATAATTGTTCCGTTCTTTACTATTATGACAAGAACCTAGTTAAATGGCATTGTATTATTTTACTCTATTCCAAACATAATAAATTCCTAATATGAGTAATAGAATCATAATAAAAATTTCCTTGCTTAAGAATTATTTTTATTACCAAATATAACAATAAAGAAAACATAAATATTTGTTAATCTTACTTATTTTTGAGTTAGAGAAATTACAAGCAGTTGATCTATTTCACATTGATATATATGCTAGAGACATTAAAATGATCAAACAGTTGTGTTTACTTACATAGAAGTTTTTATAAAAATCTATTTCTTTTAAACATTTTCATATATAGTTGTTTAAGGGAAAATTAATGGCTTATTTCTAAATACTATAAATGGAACTCTCTGTGTGTGTGTGTGTGTGTGTGTGTAGAGTCAGTTAAATCCTTTTGGGTGTACCTGTATTTCTTTCTTATTCCAATTTATTTTAGAAAATCTCAGAAGGGAAAGATTGTAGGTTTCCCTCAGGTTAAGAAATTAATTCAGTCTCAACGACTAATTAAGCAAGGGAAGACAATTTAAAGAAAAGTTAATACTATAACTTTTTCTCTTTAATGCATTTAATATATAAAAGAAACTCAAAGACTACTTTTTTTTTTTTTGTTATGATGGTTATAGCTCTTCATGAGCAATAAAATGTGTAGGCTTCAAGAAGAATATTTGAAAAATAAAGACACTGACAAGCAAGCAAAAAGAGAAAAAAAACTGCAGGGACTTGATTTTGGTAACGGAACCACAACCACAGAATTAACAGGCATTTTTGAAGCTTAGTTTCCTTTTAGAAATTTCAAACTATGTAGTGTGTCTAAGGAGTTGGAACCCAAGCAGAAAACCTCAATCCTCTTGGTTTGATATGTCAGAGGACCGTGTTCAGAGCAGCAGAGTAACTGAAAATTTTACGGGTAACCACTGAAGAGGGTTATCAGCGATTGATCATCTCACCCTTAAGCTGTGCATTCATGAAGAGGATTTCAAAGATCTGGTAAAACCCCGAACTTGGAAGGCTGACAAGGCTGAACAGACTTATCAACTAGAGTTGGTAAATTCCCAGCAAACAGCTTTGTGTTTGATGTTTGAATTTCATCAATTTCACCTAATAAACATATTAGGCATTTTACTGAAACCCTAGGGGTGAGGAGGATGATTTACAAATAAAGATGAAACAGAAGCTTATCTAACAATAAGGTGAAAACACAATTCCACACTAACAAAATGTAATGACGGAGCCTCCGTAAGATCAAAATAGTGTCAGTAAAGTAACTGCCTCTAAATCAAAAATCAGTGCTCTTCAAAAAAAATCACAAAAGCTACGTCATTTTCAATGTCTAGTATATAGTAAAGAAATACTAGACATACAAAAACAAGTAATAAGTAACAACAACACCCTATGAGAATATGACCCAAGAACATGAGGAATGCAAATAACAGAAAAAGATGGATGAAATGATACTGAAATTAGATGAACAGAACTTTAAAACAAGTGTGATATATATTAATGTACTTAAAGCTAGCAGAATCATAATGATTAAACAAATGGGGAATTTCTGAGAGAAATGGAAAATGTAAAGGGAAACAAAGGAAGTTCTAGAACATAAAATGATATCATGGACATAATTCATAGGATACTTTCACTTTTGCCCATGAAGAAACAGCAGATATGGGACATTTACCCTACCATAAATAAGTAGAAAATGAGGCAAAAATAGATGTAACAAAAGGGTAGGACTGAGAGGAAAGGGAGACAGACACGAGGAATCTTAACTGCTTTGACAGTTTTTACTCTGGAGAGTATAGAAAGTCATGTCCAATTTGAAAAAATGTTTAGCTGTTTTCCATAAAGTTAAGCTGTATAAATCCCACTATCCAAAAATTGATTCCTGTGTATCTCCCCCTCAGAAAATAAAATACATATATATATTATATATTACACAAGAATGTTGTGTATATGAAAATGTTTAAAAGAAATAGATTCCTATAAAAACTTCTGTGTAAGTAAACACAGCAGTTTGATCATTTTAATGTCTCTCTCTCTATATATATATAAAACACAAGAAAGTTGGTCCTCTTAAGAGAAAGCTAGAGAAGCAAACTATATTATAATCATACAATTGCATACTTCACAGAGATGAAACATAAAATCACGTAACACACAACATACATGGCTGCATTTCAAAACAAAACAAAACAAAACAAAACTGTGTATTATGAAGGAAATCAGAGGCAAGAATGATATTCCCTGTGAGTCAATGTATATGTATTTCAAAAACAGGCAAATATAATTCACGATGATAGTGAATAATTATCTCTAACATTATAGTATATTTCTTCTTAGGGTTTATAAAATTTTTTTGTGTGTGATTCTGGTTAATTTTTTGATTTTTCTGAGCTAACAGGAAGCACACAGATTTGAAATAAAATGCATCCTCCTTGTTATATTTTCATTGTATTTCAATGTCAATAAAATTTTAATGAAGCTATTGATTAAAAAGTAACTTTGAAACCAACTTTCAACATTTAAACTCTTGGTGATTACAATTTTAAGAGGTTGATGCAATTTTTAAGCAATCGTTAATTATTTTATGATTGGCTCTAGTAAGATAATTCTTTTGGCCATAGGATATGCCTGCCCTAGAATCAGTACATCTTTCAACAAGTACTAACAAATCCACTGTTAGGGTGCAGGTTCAAAAAAGAGTCCACGTTGTTATGAGCTGACTGACTGATCAGAACTCACCGATTATTATTGGCTGTGGCTCACTCTTTACTCCAACTCCTGCACTGGTACTTGCTGCCACCTCTACCCGGTACTGAATACCTGGGAACAATCCACCAATTATTACAGATCGGATAGCTGCATCCACAGTTTTGTTGATATGGAATCGTGTTTCATTTCCCAGACACCAGATCTACAGAAATGGAAAGAGAAAAACAAAGAGAGATAAAATTATCCTGTAATTTTAGCTTTATAATTGATTCAAGCTTTATAATTGATTGTTTTTTAAATAGTACCTGGTCTATTTTCTAAGATTAGAAGCACTGGTACATTCATTTTCGGAAGCCAAATTCCTGCAGCCTTTATATGTTAGTGTATATTTCTGCGTGTGCAACTGAGAGTTTGTGTGGTGTGTGCACATTCATTGTGAGGGAAAAAAGAGGGAAACCCAAACTGAACCATGTTGTCAATCTTATTATCAAGGGTGATGTTCACAAATCATTTGGAGAAACAATGATTCCCTAAATACCTCTGGAAAGTGATCTTATTTGCAAACAGCATTTGGATAGAGATTAAAATCCACAAATTTTTCTTCTTAATTCATTTATCGAGATTTATTATAATATAGTCTATTAAAAATGACTGAGTTGAAATATCTAACATATATAGGTGAATATGTAATTTGCATTTCACTTAAGACAATATTAACTTACTCAGAAGTATTTAACAAGATTAGTTGGCCTAAGTTATTGGTATTGACTGAGATGAAATTAAAGCCAATATTTACAATGACAGTAATAAATCTTAATATTGATCAAAACTTATCTATACGCACTCACATGCCTGAACAAAGTGATGGAAAGTTTCAAACAGTGTTTTGAAGAAAAGAGGTTTTTATTTCAAGTAGGCATTAAATTTTAGAACACACTTTCTTATGGGATAGGGAAAACTGTGGCTCTACAATTTTCTCAAAAATTCTATTTTTGATATATATTTTTATTTATATTACATGGTATTTAATATGCTGCAGATAGGTGCATTAAATAGAGATACACAGAATTTGTTTCTGAAACAAGTAAATTCAAGATGCTTTAGAATGTATCTAAAGTGCTAAGTTTTTTTTTTTTTTTAATTTACTATGACACGACACCTGTGTTACTAATGGAGAAGTACTTGGTCCTCACTAAATAGAGATTTTGTTGTGAAACATAACAACCTTATATAAATGAGAAAGTTTACAACTTATGGATAAAGTAAGTTGGAAAAAAAAAAAACAATATTAAGCAAATGGAAGCTTAGGATATTTACACTTGGGTAACACAAAGGTAAAATCCCAACCTCATGAAAATGTAAAACTTTAGAATCTGTGACAATATGCTATTGTAAAAACACTTATATTTTTCTATAATATATGAGGATAATTTTAAAGTAAACAGTAATGTATATTTTGTCCCTTTGCTTTAGTAAATCAGCCATTAACTTAATAAAATTCTATTTAAAAGCATTTTTCTCAGCTATAACAATTCAATCTGGAACAGTTTTTGCAAAATGATTCAGTGTATTATCACATACCAACTATGAATTTCTATGGTGACATGGTATGCTTAGTTATCTAGTCTAAAATATCTATCTAGTGCATTACTGTCAGAATTTCAGAACTATTAGCATCACAAGATTATATTTGTGAATTTTTGCAAGGTTTTATGAGGCGTTTTACCCTCATAATGTGGCCTATTCATTTCACAGTTAGCTAGAATCTTAATATTTCAAAGTCAGTTATCTTGTCTCTGCTCTATCACAAAATAGCCCAAGAAACAGTAGAAAATATAGTCTTTCAAAATAGCAACAAAGTAGCAATAAAAATAATCATATACCAATTTGGTTATTTTTTTCAAAATTTGTTTTATCAATGGCTCCCTTTTTCCAAGTGAAGCGATTTATACAACCTCATAAAAAGCTAAAGGTAGATTTTAGTTGGAAGCTGGAGTTGCCCATTCTCTTACCCAGACTCATCTCTCTAAACCCCTGAAGCAACTTTTTCTAATAACACAGTTAAAAAAATGGCTGCCCTCAGGTCTGTTGTACGGAAATCTAATAATAAATAAAAAAGCGGTTTTGGTGATAAGGGATTCACCCCAAATCCGGTACCCCGTTATCTCTGAGTCACTGAGTTTCTGGAATCTTGCTGTATAGAAAAAGTCACTCCACTGTTAAAATCTACTTGTCCAACTGAGCTTGTGTTTCTGTGACCTTCGATTAGGCTCTAATCCCCCATGCACTGGTTTCATTACCTGTCCCATAAAGACACAAATAATCACATTACACTCAAACTCAATAAGAATGCCACTCGAGAGAGGATTCATCCATACATCAGAGACTTCTGCGGGAAGTTTTATCGGTGACCTCCTTCACCTAGACCCTACCTTATATTCTTGGATAATTCCATTCTGATGATCTGGAGGGGGAGGATCCCAGGAGACACTAATACTTGTGCTATTGTGGCTTCCAACTGTCAGCACAGTGACAGATTGTGGAGGAGCACTCGGGGCTGTAGAAGAAGTCATTAGAATAAATGTAAATGGTAAATCTACTATGCATTAATGTTGCTTACAGAGTAAGATTATTAGGGCAGGAGGCATGCAATTCTGGTTTCTACTAGTTCTGAATTCGTCTATGGAATTCAACAGCGACAGATTTTAAATATGTCCTTAAATATATGGATAGACTTGAAGTAGATACAATACATATGTAATAGGTACTCAATAATAAATTTAATAGTTCACATTCTAATGGGTGTTTCTTTATTCCCAGTACTGAGCCACACTGGGTTTAACTCTCAGCACATAGAAATGACTCTCAGTTTTGCAGATGAGGAAACAGAAGTAGAATTTAAGACAATTATGGATGTGAAAGAGTGAGTTTGAATTTGAATCCAGGTGTGTGTAGGAGAAGACCTTGGACTTTCTGGACTCTAAATGTCTCTGTTTCTGAAAACAACAAACAAACAAAAAACAAACCCAAAAATCCTATCAAAAATAGTCTGAGAGGATATTCCATAGTGCTATCAATCAAAATTTCATTTGAGTGGTGACAGTTGACAAGATTACTGACAATCTTTATTTTGAGTTTATGTTAATAAATTTTTCCAACACAGAAAAATAATTCTTCTGTTTTCAAATCCGAAAAACAGCTATTATACATTCATCTATAACTTAAGATTCAAACTTATTTTAATTGGTGGGCAAGGAACTCTAATGTTAAGTCAAAACAGTCCATGATGGGTCAGATTTTAATTATCTACATCAATTCTATGAATGAGAAAGGATGAGTGAGAAAAAATTTGTGATTTTAGATGCAGAATGTCCCATTCAGATTATCTGACAACTAAGAAGAAAATTTTTTTAACTTTCATGAATTTCTGTTTAAACTAAAGAGAGAAAAGGCAAAATGAAAATACTAGTAGTTTAAAACAACATTCAAATAATTGTGTTATTAAAGAGTTTTGTATTACTAAGTCAGTGGTTTTGTAGTTTTAGATAGTTTACTTATTTTCAAATATATACAACAGAATTGTGAGAGAGATCTTTTAAGACTCTTAGTAGGGACTTCATGGTGGCAAAAGGGGTTAAAGCACTATGAAAGTATCAGCACCCACTGAAGCACAAGTTCGATCCCCGGCCAAGGAACTGACCCACATGGCACTGCAGAACCCTCCTGTCCCACCTGATATTCCCCTCAGCAGTGTATTTTGCTATATCCTCCTGTTCGGTCCCCTTCACTGTCTCTCATGGATCTTCTCACAGCCCGCAGCTCTGGCCTACACCCCAGTTCTTGTGTATATAAATAAATAAATCTTTAAAAAAAAAAGTTTTTCAGTAAATTCTGCTGTGTTTGGTAAATTTGACAAGTATTTACCTCACAGAGGTGTGGCTCTCTTTGCATGGAGAGAGAGGACACACAGCCAGATGACCATGGCACTGCTCTTTAAGTGACTATTTCTTTCAGTGAGATTAACTGCTCCAAAATATGGCTCAGTGACACAGATCCAGGCACTTGTTACCAGCTTCTTAGTTATTAAGTAGGCGGAATTGAAAAATAACACTTTTGGAGACTGGTTTCTCAATTGCCTTGCTGCTGGCTTGGAGAGAACACCATGCCTGCTTCCTGTCAGGTCAATTATGACAGTGCTCAGCTTCTTTCCACAAACAGGAAAGAACCCAAATCACTGCTCATCACTCCCCGACATAGCCCAGCTGAGTTCCATTTGTTACCTTTAGAAGGTCACAGAAACTGGAGATGAATGTAAAGTGAATAGTGACAGATGTCCAATCCAGACAAGTTTAACTACAGTGAAATTGATTTTTTAAAGTATGCTCCACACGTAGCATTTATATTAAATTTACCCACCTCACTCATCAGTAACACAGAGCTGGAACACAAAGTGAAATCCAGTAGTGATACAGACACTATTGTTTCCTTTAAGTAATGATATATTTTTTTTTGTTTCTTCACAAATCCTAAAAGTAGATTAATGATGTATTTAAAAATATGCTCTTCTGCCGAGGTCAGTGTATCTCAAAATAGAAGTCAATGTGAAGAAAACATTTCTGCTGTTTTGTTTACTCTAAGATTAATTGAAAAGTTATTTTGCTAAGACATGTTAGGGTGATGGGTGGGTGTGTATATCTTAATTAAGTAATTATGTATATATACTTATATACACACTTATTTTCATTAAAGTTCCTCTTATGTTGATCAGTATAAAACTTGTTTAAAGAAAATAGATTTTTATGGGAGCCGTGCACATCAAATTAGTAGAAAAGCAGAAAAGGAGGGATTTATTATATTTGGCAATTGACTTTTTTAACTTTGATGGTACCATTTGTTGTAAGTCTCTAGTTTAGTGAAGGAGATGTTAGCAAATGGACTAGTTGAGACCAACACTAATTTTTGTGTCCACATAAATGGACTTTAAAGCATCCATAGGAAAGAAAAGTTCTCAAAGGGGCAAAGCATGTCACTAAGAAAAATGCTGTTATCAAGGTGCCAATGGCCTTCTGAATTACAAATTTGAGTCAGACTGGAACAACCCACTGGAATGGAGGTTTATAAAAGAATGTCATTTTTTCTTATTTTAAAGACTTATTGATGCATACATAACTGAGGTACAGGCCAGAGGTGCAGGGGAAGTGAGAGGACTTATTAGAGACATGGAGAACAGAACAGGCAGATCAATGAAGTATACTGCTGAGAAAAGCAGGGGGTGAGACAGGAGAGGTCTGCTGTGCCATGTGGATCACCTACAGGGCAGGGGATTGAACTCACTGAAGTGGCTGCAGCTAGTTTGCAGTGCAGTGCTTTAACCCAATGTGCCACCAGGGAGAGCCAAAAATGTCATGTTTTTCTTATAAGCTATGACAATGAACACCCATGTCCTTAGATGCCCATAGCCTGTCTTGTAACGAAGCCAAAGGAGCTAAATCCACACATGAATTGTAGGAAAATTTAGCTAAATTCCAGTGTACTATCAAATAAGATTTAGGGAACATATTTATTTAAATAAATTACAATTACTAATGTCATATTTTTAATGAGCCAAACCTATGGAATCCTCAGGATAAAATGATACTTCTTGGATTTACTTTTAGTTTCTCTCTCGTCTGTTTCTCTGGCAGCTGAGAAACAAGATAACATCAGTAGAAATTATAACACAACCACAGTTTCCTTCATGCCAGCCACCTGGATACTGACCTTCTTCAGTAGTACGAACTGATTTGGATTCACTATCCATTCCTTGGAATTCATTAAAATAGGGTCGAACCTTAATTTCATAAGTCACTCCCTTTTTCAGATTGACCAAGACGGCACTTCGTTCTGTCGGAACCTTGGCATCTAAATTCTGCCATGTAGATGAAGCCTGCAGGCCTGAGGTCTGACGGTACATCACTCGGTAACCCTGGATGAACTGGGGCTGGCGATCAACCTGAGAAACAGCAGAAAGTATTTGTAACCAAATGTAAGTATTTTAGGCAGTAGAATCAATTGATTCTCATTTCTCTTGTCCTTATGTCCATCTCCTTAAGTATTATCTGAGTTATGCGATAGCACCCTAACTCACCAACTTGTTTCTAATATCCTCTTCCATATTTAAGTTCACAATTCTTCTAAATTGTTAGTTCCAAAATTAATTATAGATCAGCTTTGTCACCTGATTAAAATACAGTATTGGCTTTATGATAGCTATTTATTTTAAATTTCTTGGATTTCATAAAGGTATGTTATGATGTAGACCTGTCATGTTTTCTAGCTTCATTTCTGATATATTTCCTTTGTTCTCTCTGTATTGAACAATAATTCACTTCTTTGTGCTTTTTGTAAAGAAGTTCCATTCTCATCCCTCGTCCATTCACCAATATCTTTGAGTCAAAATATATATTATTTTTGAGTTCCTACTAGAAGGCCAGGAATTCTACTAAGATCTTGAGAGGACATGGAGGTGGACAGTAGTGTTAATTCTTGCTGTGGTGATGGGTGGGATTCAGGTGGAGCAAGGTGTTACAAATATTCACTCAAACAGCAACCAGATCACATTCATAGCAAGTAAATAGAAGCACATGTAATGATGAGATGAACAGGGAGCTAGAAAGCCTGTAGTGGAGGCTCAGAGTCTAGTAGAAAAAATGCTGAGATCTACAAGTGTCAGTATTATTCAGTAGAAAAAGTGAACAGCAGATTTGAAATTCCTGTTGAGGAAGATGGTGTAAGATAGAGAATGAAAGAGGAGAGGGGCATCTGTTTTCAATGACTATGAAAAGCCAGTCCCCATTAAAAAGACTCACTAGAAGACTTCTGTTGATTACCAACTTCTGACCCCTTTAGCGATCCCACTCTTGGCATGACCTGACAACATTCTTGATCCATTTATTCATTTAAATTATAGAGAATAAACAGTTATTTTTGATGATAATATAAGATTTCAAGTCTAAAATTTCATCACATAAAATAGGAAATTGGAAGCGTTTTTGGTTAGTCATAATAATTAAAAATGCAAACAACTGCAAACTGAAAAATGAAATATTCTCTCTTCAACATTTATTAAACAATTTTTACTGGAGTTTATGGTTATTTAATTTTCAGGGAGAAAAGTGCTTTTATTATTTTTGAATTATTTAATTCCTTACCATGTTTTTGGAAAATCTTTCCCTGCCAATATAGGATTAAGTGATGAAGAGACTGAAGAACCTCATTTCAAAAAGTAAGCAGAGAGAGGAACTGGCATAGATGATGACAAAAATGGTTATTTATCTCAGCTCTTAAAAAAAAACAAACTAATTGTTCACACATTAAGAACAAAAGGTATTCTTTTATGTGTTAACTTCGAACATTTCTTCTTTGGCACTGGATTATTTAATTCTGTATTTTAAGAGAAGGAAATCTGCAAAACGTAGCACCCCAAAGAAAATACAGTGGAACAAAGAGACACATTTCTTTGTTGAGAATGACTAAGCTAGAAAAAGCTAAAGTGTTGGTGGGAATGAGCTTGTGTGTTTCAATAGATAATTAATTCCAATTTCCCAGATAAGTTTCTATGAGCAAGATTTCCTTCACCTGCATGAATGCTTTCTAACTCAAAGACATTTTGAAATTAGTGCTACACTATTTGGAGGTTATGTCAAGAAAAGTGAGGCCAGGTCTGATGTCAAAGCTCATGATCTCTGAATCTTGGTGTATGCTACCAGTTACTTGTATCAAGACATATAATCTTATGAAAAGCAGTTGTTCTGATAATATATAACCAGAAAACCAAAGAAACAAAATGCAAAAATTATGAGAGCCAAAAGGAGATGCTTTTCATCAAAACTGTCAGTGTTCAAAAAATTCCTTGTAGCATATGTTAAAACAACATTAAGCTTGCATTTTATAAACTTCTCTGCATACACTTTAAGTGAATTTATATACTGAAAGAAAGACATAACTCACAATAATAGCTTGTTAATACTGAAAGAAGCAAGCTGTGTTTTTAAGAAGAACATTAAGCAGCTGTTTCCAGATGAAGGGAGTCTGTAAATCTGGGTAAATTGGTTTTATCCATGTTTGGTTTTCATTAATTAAGTGTTTTAGGGACTTTATGAAGCTAATGTTTACTACACAACATTGCCTCGCTCACTTCAATGTACACTTCCCTCAGCCAGTGTACAATAATGGTCTACTTAATAACTAAGTGGTTTAATTTGATTTTGTGCAGTTACAGTACTTTTTTTTTTTTAAGGAGGAAATTTGTTGTTACAGGTGGGAGCAAAAATGAAAATAGTGAACATTATTTTTAAAAACATAAGTGGGGTTTTCATTGACTATGTGTTCTATACCACTGATGTTTGGATTTCATTTTCACAGGTGGTCATTTTCAAGTTTGGTCATGTGCTTGTTACGAATTTTATTAACATTCGGATTATAAAAAGGAGGATTTTCTTTTACAGTTGATTGCAATCAGAATCTGGCCAAAGTCCGTGAATTTATATAATTTAAAAACTGTTATTTGTCTGAAGCATGAATTAAAAAAAAAAAAAAAGTGGCCTTAAGGAAAAAGTGAAATGATGGCAAGACCTTTGTTTCTTGGTCAGGTCTCAAATGAGTCACACAGCTTAGCCACTTAAACTTTCTAAGTCTCAGTTTACTTAATCTGCTCAGATAATTTTCATTGGGATACAGAAGCAATTTAATGACTAATTTACATTAAAGCAATTTCATGTTGTAGGGACATGCAATAATAATAAATTTCTTTTTATTTGTGGGCAGTGGTGTGGGCTTAGTCTACTGAGTAGCTGATCAGGATTTCTCTGAATTCTAAAATTCTACTCCACCAAGTACTCTTTTAGCTTTTAAACAGTGTGATTTGTAAGGCACTAAGAGCCTGAACTTCTTTTAGTCTACAGACAAAAATATGAAACTCACACACGCAAGAATAAGCATGCTTAATTAAGAGATTTATTACTATTTTTCTTTTAGAACAATCATTTTCTTATCATTTTCCTGCCCTCATTATTAGAGTAATCATTTTTATAGAGTAGGCTTTGCTAGTTATTGTAGGAAGATGGTCTTTCCAGTACAAACATTTTAAGTGTTTAGTAAATGAATCCTGCCAAACATTGCTATAGCACCTCACCTGATTTCAAATCCAAACACAAGGGCTGAGAAAGATGTATTTTCCCTCAAATACCACCACATCTTTAACTCAAAATTTAAAAGTGTGGAAACTGAAGAACATGTACATTTAGCAAGTGAAAATATTTAATGAAAACAGAAGTTGCAGCTTTTTTGGCAACTGACCCTGGGCTGACTTTATTTCACTAAATGTACCTTTCTCAAACACATAATTATCACATACGCAATCACAAATCTCTGGGTAAAATACCCTGTGGTTCAAATGAATCATTTATTTATTTTTTAAATAAGCGTATATGAAAACAACCGATGTGATCACTCAGTAGACATTTACTGAAAGGATGATTTATCATGAATATCGTACTTTGAAAAGGAGAAAGTGAAAACTATGGACTCCAGATTCACTAAAGTCCATAAGAGAGAGAGATATGCAGGGTCTTCATGACAAGCTTCTTGGGATATAGAGGTGAATATGACAAGACCTCACTCGTGAAAAACATGATCAGACTTCAGTCATGCAATTTTGATTGAATTTAACTTACTCTTTTCAACCAGTGACATTGAAAATTATTTACTTCATAAACACAAGAACTTTCATTCTTACTCAAATAAGTGTTCCACATTAGGAGAAACTTAAAGAAGTCCTACAAAACTTACAATAGAGCAGAGATGACTTCTTCAGTTGAGAATAAAAAATAAAAACTGCTGTAAATATTATAACTAGTTCCTTCATTTTGTTAATATCTCATCAGAGCTATTGAAGGATGGAAGAGGCCTGATAGGCACTGTCTTTACTATACAAGGGCAAACAATTTGCATCCTGAGTATTTGAAGAACATTTACAAATCGATAAGAAATTAACCCAATTTAAAAATGAAAAAAAAATTGAAGACATTTTTTTCAATAGAAGACATACAATTACCCAATAAGCACATAGAAATGCAAAATATCACTAGTCATTAAAATAAATGAAAGTGAAAACCCTAATGATACCTCACTTTACACTACTAGAATGGGTTAGCACCAAAAGACAGTCAATAGCAAATGTGAGACATTGGAAGAAAATGGAAGAAACTGGGACTTTTAAACATGTTTGTGGGACATCAGACTGTGCAAACACTTTGGGAAAAACGTGTTAATATCACAGTTCATCAAAATCTGAAAACAGAGAATTGTACTGTTAAAGAATTTGTAGGAATATACCAAGAAAAATGAAACCATGTCTACTCAAAGTCTTGTCCACAAATGTTTTCATGACACTGTCATTTCTAAGTCAAAAAAAAAAAAAAAATCCAATAAGCTGCTGCTTGGTGGTAAAAAGGAATGAATTTATTAATATATGCCACAACTTGGAAGAATCTCAAAAACACTGCTGAGTGACAGACACCAGACACAATATTCTCAGTTGTGTATGTTTCCTTTTAGATGAAACAAACAGGCAAATTTAAAAACAATAGATTTGTAATGCACAGGGCCGAATTGGAGAGACTAGGAGAGTGATTGCTAAAGGTCAAAGTTTCATTTTGGATGAGGAAATGTTCTAAAATTTGGTTTTGGTGAAGACTGTACAACCCTGCCATCTTGTACATATTAACTCTTGTACATAAATTGTATCGCAACACATCTACTCAAAAATTCAGAAGCTAGAACATATCATGTTCATATTGCGATCAGTCTATTTTACTCTATTATTCCATTTACTCGTAAGAATATTTTCCCTTTTTTGGGGTCATTGATTATACCACAGTTTTAAGTGATAGGAGGTTGATTAGTGTTTTTGATTTCAAAATTTGCCTTGTCCTTGTTTTTGGTTCATTTTTATTAAAGGAATTATTAAAAAAAAAAAAAAACTACCACTTACATGACCTGTGAAAACTTACCGTCCACGTAACTTGGACAGTGGTGGGGGTCAACACTACCGGAGTATGAAGATGGACAAGGACATCCCCCAGTTCCTTCTGGACTTGTCTGTGGTCCACCCCTTGTGCGGGGGGACTGATATCTGTGGGTAGATAATCGTTCCCAGATTTTAAAAATTCATAGCAAAATTCCAATGACATGTTATAAGCCAATATTATGCTTTATGCGATAGTTACAGAAGAAAAAATAAAATCCCCTTGTGACAAAAATATTAGAGGATATACATACCACCATGCTAGGCTATTATTTGAGGCCATTTATCTTCAGAAAAAAAATATTAATAAAACAGTGTTTGCAATCTCTCATTCCCATTGAAATATATTGTTGTGGAAGAGCTAGTATTTTCTTATACAAGAATTAAGAGGCAGTGTAAGGTGTCTCTAGTAACACCAATTTTAGATTGACTTTGGCAAACTGAAAGACTTTCCATGTAGTTAAGGGCACCACCTCTGAACTTTCCTATTTAGGGAATTTGTTTAAGTCCTTGTGCCAATCAGTAGAATATGTATTCTTATTCCATGGCCTATTTCAGTGTGGGAGAATGAGGTAAAAATAATCAGGGGAATTGGGGAGTAAATTATGTCACCAAAGGTAAATAGAGAGAGAGAAAAGGGCTTGAAGACCCTCAAATTCTTTAAATGCTTTTTGAGTAAAAAAGTATGGAATCCTGATATAAAGTTCTCAAGTAATACTTTTGAACAGCACTCCAACAACTGGCAAATGGCAATGCAGCTGATTTGTGACAACATTGGTGGGAGGAGGAAGAAGAAGGGAGATGCCAAATTGATATGAGACTGAAATTTCACATATATTCAAATTAACTTTTTTTAGCTGATACACTGTAATGTTGAGATAAATATTTTTTCCACTTAACTCTTTAAGGTAGTATTTCAGTTTTAAATGTTCCAGGTCAAATCGCAACACTTTTACAAAAAAAATTTTAAAGCATATACCTCAGACCTGAAGTAACCTGGATATACTAATTTAAATTGGGACATGCAAAATTGGGAACCACATTTTGATGACTTTTTCCAGTCTCACTATCTTTTTTTTTTAATCTTTAGCATAAACAGCAGCAGATCAAAGTTTCACTTGATTTAGGAAAAAAAATAAAAACCTGTATGAATGATATTAACCTTCCCTGCTATACCTATGGTCTAAATGAGATTGATGGAACAGGTATTAGTTGCCTTACTAAAATTATTATTATAATTATAAATTATTTCTAATTTTTGTTGCATATAATGTCTTTGAAAAATAAGTTCATACAGCAATGTTTTCTATGAAAAGATGTACTCTGTGTCTTTGGAATGGAAAACTGTTGGCAAGTGCAGTGTCAAAAAGTGATCCTGACATTTAGACAAAACATGAGTTTTCCTATTAAATATCTGTTAAGAAAACAGTGTTTTGTTCTATGTGGTTTCTCAGCTGTAACAAGCCAGATCTCAAACAACTTTTCATTAATCTTTTTTGACCTTTTCATTGAGAAGCTATTTTGTATTACGATTTAATAACCGGCATCATTACTGAATGATCAAGAAGATCTGCTGGATTTAAGCACACTGAAAGCACTCTCTGTTCTATTAGCCGCTCACCCCCCCCCACACACACACACACGCATGCACGACTTCTCCCCTCACAGGTAAAAAAGATCTAGGCACTATAATTTCTTTACTTGAAACCATATACCGCTTCCTTTTCCAAGTTCATTAAATTAATTTACTCATTAAATTCAGACACAGTAAACGCAATTGGATCCAGGCAAGGTAAAATATAACCAGTTTTACGTCTTCAAATTCCGTGTTGTACTTTTTCTTCTCTGGAGACAGGTTCTTTACCTACAGGCTCTTTATCATCATGGAAAATTAATCACATTACTGCTTAGAGAACAATAGCAAAGTGGCATTCCCGCCTCCCTCGACTGTCATCATGTCAGAAACGTTACGAAATCACATGGTGACTTTATTTCACTTGATTCCTTGAAGGAGCCCTTCTCTGTTATAATAGCATGCTAGTTACTATCACTGAACTACATTGTAATTATAATAATATTTTATGGCTGCATGGTGCTTTTCATAGTGTAAAAATACTACTTTGAATTATATCTTGTTCAAAGCATTTTCCAAATAAGAAATAATTAACCCTTTCTCAAAAACCCTGGGGGGATAATTTGTAACAAATAATAAAGCCACCATTTCTGCTTTATTAATTTCCCTCACTACACTACCTGTAGGAAAATGACAGCGGAACATTTCATATTAACCCCTAGATGTCTGAGTCCTCCACTTACAGGAAAGATAAGAAGAGCAAATCTTCCAATTTTATCTCGTAATGTTCTAGGCATTTTTATTTTCCTTATTATTAGTCAAGAGTGTCATATGTCTTGGGAAGGTAACTTGATTTACTGTTTTCTGAACAAATGTCACCTTTAAACTTCGGGCTTAGTAAGATACACTGTAGTGATGCTTACCAAACTTCAGCATTGGCCTCACCTGGAGGTTATCTTAGCACAGACTGCTGGGGCCCAACCCCTGAGCTCTGAACTGGGGAGTTAGAATCTGTGATGGTCTAGAAATGGTCCCAAATGAAGCAGATGCTGCTTCTGGGGAACAACACCTTGAGACACATGGGGCATAAAAGCAGAATTATTGTATAGGAAGTTATGTTGCTATCTCATATGTCACTGTATTTATGAAACATGACTTCGTTATTGTATAAATAATGAAACATTTTTCCTCCATCTGAAATATAGTAAAGTCATAACTCAGTGGACTCACTATACTATGAAAATGTACCCAACTGTTTTGCTTATTTTTTATTTAATAGTCCCCGACAGCTC